TAATCAACATGACTTCATTTTGGGCGTTTGCTGATGCCTATCTTTTCAAAAAGTTGTAATATACTCCTCAGTATTGGCAGTAGTAAAGCATGCCAGGGCAAGTAGATAAAGAGGTACCACTGTGGCGGTAAGATAAATGGCATTTCCATGCACTCTGGCTTCACAGTGTCCCGGTGCGCGAGAAGTGGTTTAGTCATGCTGGCCACATGATCCAGAAAGCTTTCTGTGGACAAACGCCGGCTCCCTTGGCCTGAAAGTAAGATGAGCACCGCAACCCCATAGTTGCTTTTGACTGGACTTAACCGTCTAGGAATCCTTTACCTTTTACCTCTCACAGTGGCCAACCAGATGCTTGTGAGAAGGCTGCAAGCAAGACCTGAGCACCCGTGCATCCTCCTCTCCTGCAGTTTCCAGCAATTGGTATTCAGAGACATAATGCCCCCAACTGTAGAGGTAGAATCATAGAATTATGAAGTTGTAAGGGGTACCAAGGGTCATCTAGTCTAACCCCCTGCAGTGCAGGAATCTCAACATGCGGTTCCCCCATCCAATTTGAAAACATGCTGGAACGTGCTTAGCTTTGCCAATGTGCTAGCAGTCTTATTGCTGCACCATTCCTCTTTTAAAGACACCAAAGTCGGTGGCCATCACTGCCAGAAACATTTATTTGTTTTGTTTTTGCGAATTTGGCAACTTTGGCAGGGGAAAAAAAAGCTCAACAACTTTTCTGTCTGGATTTTCACTGTTTGAAATACAGTGGTACCTCTAGATACGAACGGGATCCGTTCCGGAGCCCTGTTCGCATCTAGAGGTAAACATAACAAGTGATGGCACGTCTGCGCACGCACGCGTCGCTTTTCGCAGCTTCTGCGCATGCGCGTGACAACATTTTGAGTGTTTGCGCATGTGCAAACGGCGAAACCCGGAAGTAACGCACTCTGTTACTTCCGGGTTGCCGAACGTGCTCAACTCGAACCGTATTTAACCCGAGGTATGACTGTATGACAACCCTAGCTAGAGCCCACAGCATGGGTATTCTTCCAAACTGCAGTTCTGATCACTCACCACTCAGGGCAGCCATGTACAAGGCTGAAGTTTCCAGCCCCTGATAGTATGCTCAGTGCTGGAGGCATCCTTTTTGCCTAGCCAGAAGGACGAGTCTAGCCTGCTGTACTCCTTTCATTTCTGGGTTATTGGAGAACAAGTTGCAGAGCCACCTGGTGCTCTGCCTGTAGCCAGGGCTCTGTGGTACTTTGGCAGCCAGAAAAGCTGGTTTCTGTGACTTCAGTTGTGCAGATGCTCTCTTTTTGCATCATTGAGTTTGCAATGGTTTCTTGCCAGTTTGCCCTTCTGAAAACTGCAAAGCTCTGTGATGTTTGAATGCTGGCAGGGTCAATATAGTAAGCGTGATCCTTCTACATTCCTTGCAATAGAATCAAAGAATTGTAGACTTGGAAGGGATACCGAGGGTCATCTAGTGACTAGTCCAACCCCCTGCAATGCAGGAATCTCGGCCAAAGCATCCATTACAGGCGGCCATCCAACCTCTGCTTAAAAACCTCCAAGGAAGGGGAGTCCACAACCTCCCAGGGGCGTCTGTTCCACTGTCAAACAGCTCTTACTGATGTTTAGTTGGAATCTCCTTTCTTGTTGCTTGAATCCATTGGTTTGAGATGTACCCTCCGGAGCTGGAGAAAACAAGCTTGCGCCATCTTCCATGTGACATTGTGTGTGTGTGTGTGTGTGTGCGCGCGCGCGGGCCTCCAGGAAAGGGAATCCTATCATGATCACCTTACCCCAAATGTGTCCACTCATCAGCTTCAGTCGGCAGAACTGACACTATTCCAGAAGCCACATTAGACCCATTCCACCTTTGTAAGAACCTGATATTTTAGTGTGGCAGCACCTACCCTTTGTAACTCCCTGACTGTTGATATCAGGCAGGTGCTTTCACTGTACTCTTAATGTTATCTGCTAAAAACATCTTTGTTTAGACAAGCCTGTACAGATGTTTAGAAAGTTGATGTGAGTTTTAATCTGTTTTTTAAATCTTTAATCTGTTTTTAATCTTAAACTTTTTTTTAATGTCCTAAATAATTGTTGTTAATTTTTCTTAGTGATGATCTTATTGTTGTTTTTGTAAACCACTTCGAAGCTTATTTTTACAATCAAATGTCGTGTAAATTTTATGAAGTAAAATTAGCTGCATATGTAATTTCAATTGTTTCCCCACACTTTGGAGAGTGTAGAGCTTTTTATGTATGCAACATTTCACTGTGTTCATTCAGCACTTGGCCAGTGGAGACCCAGTTTATGTGGGCAAATGAAGCTCTGCACCACCAACCTCTGTTAGCTGCCCGGCAGCCCCCTACTTGCCTTGTTACTTACAACCAGATGGGGGCAAAAAGAAAAAATTGTTGCCTCTGCCTGTCATTGGCTCTGGCGCCCCCTACTGCTGGGCTCCCTGCTTTCTGCCCTGCCAGGCACAAAGGGCACCAGCTGCTATGGCACTTGATGAATTCACGGAGGGTAAGGCTGTCACTGGCTATGAGTCAGGATGGCTTCCTCCGCTATCAGAACCTAGATAGTGATATGCAGATTAAATGAGAAGGGGCTATGCAAAAAGGGACTGACTCCATTCTCATTGGCTCCTATCAAGATCTGTGGGGTCAAGTAAATTTGGGGGTGCTGTCTAAGAATGGGATGGGGAAGCTGGGGGAGGGGTAAAATCTTTCTTCTGCCCCTAGGCAGTGGGTGGCCTAGCTTTTCGCCTGCCACAATGACTGGCATTGTGTCAGTTTTCAGATATTTCAGGGTACTTTCAAATGTAACAGAATTACACCCCAAAGGCCTCCTTTTCATATTGTGTTCTGACTTCTGTCAGACCTGCCTTTGTTTTCTGTGGGAGTTTACTATTACTGATATAAATTTTTTGTTAAGTCATTTTCTCTCTCACACAAGCACACCATCGGTTGTGACTGGCATGGTTAAAGACCCTTTATCTTAAGGCCTATGTCTAAACAGCCTCTTTAAAAGGCTGGCTTCATTATCGTGGCATCTGCTCACCGTGAATGAGTGCCTTTCAGAAGTCCCCATTATAAAGTTCAGCCTGCTCTGGTTTATAGTTCAGTAATAAAAATTTGCTCAAGGCTGTAAGTTGGGGATACAAAGCATTTCTTCATACAACAATTGCGGTTGTTTTTCATAAGGTATTGATGCATGGCACTCTTACAAAAGTTGTTCAGTATGACTTGAGCTTTACCTCATAGATTTATTTTTAAAAAAAAATATGTTTCAAATGTTTGACATGCTGGCTGCTTTGCAAAGGAATCTATCTGTATACACACAAAAACACACACAAAAATCCCTAAAGGCAAAGGGTGAGGGTCCCATCCTCTCTCTCTCAGGCTTCTCCCTACCTACAGAATCCTCCACCCCGTCCTCCTCTTCTTCCTCTTCACCAGACAGGAACTCCCATCCCAAACCTGCCCCTGAGACACAAGCATGAAGCATTATCACAGTCCAGTGACACATTCCAGTCAGGCAAAAGCACTTGAGGCTGCATAGTAGAGGCAGTGAAACATGCGGCCTAGTGGCAGGGATCGTGGTCTGGGGAGAGACCCAGGGCCAGACAGAGAGGGCTCAAGGGCCACATTCAGCCCCTGTAAGAACACCAGATGAGCCTGCTGGACCAGGCCAATGGCACATCAATTCCAGCATCCATCCTGTTGCACCTTAGTATTGTGCAAACCCATCTTAATTTTACTAGCAGAATAATTTCTTGCCATAGCTTATGCAAAAAAGTCATTCCTATCAGGTGCTTTCCCACATTTTGGCAAGAGGTATTCAAGCATGTGTATGGATGGAATTCAGATAAGCAAGTATCACTTCAAGTGGTACATTAGAAGTCCTCTTTGTTGCGTGTGCATTAGTGCTAATGCTGGAGTCACACATATGTCTGCAGTTGAGGACATGCACAGGAATGGGAGAGAAATTTGATTCAGTTTGCATTTAAAGGTGAACCTACCTAATTTGTACATTCTGAAACAGTATATGAACTGAAACATAGCCATCTTTGAAATGGGCCTGTCTCCAAATTGTGCAATGCAAGCAGCAAATACCAAAATAATAAGAAAAATGCACGTATTTGCGTAAAGTGTGCATAAAAACGTATATATTAGTGAAAATAATACCCAAGAATGCACCACATTAGGGAAAATTGCTTTGCAAAAATGCATATACTGGGCAAAATTGCATGAAGACACATATATTAGGAGAAATTCGTATTAAAATACTGACCTTAAAAAATAAATCACAAATAATAAAGTTATAAAATAAAAATTAGGAAGTCACACACGGGTGAAGGGAAGACATAGGGTAAAATAAGAAGCAAGTAAGAAATGACTAGATGTTGGTACATAATGAAATGAAAAATGTGAATTTACAAGTATAATGTATATGTAATATTATGTAGACATTTTGTATATGTATTGAGATATCAATCAATAAAATAAATCGCCAACAAGGAAATATTGAGAACTCATATGGAGAACCTCCATGCATCCATTATGGGGCACAGGCTCAAGAGTCAGGGTCTGACTTGTACCAAGAAAAATTATCCTTGTAACTGATGTAGAGAAATGCCCTTAGCAGGAGAGGACAGCATGACGGGACAGAGGTGCTCATCTGATCTCCCGGCAGGTGAGTCACTGCTATTTAGCAAGGAGGGGCAAATCACACCGGCAGACACAGCCTGGTGTTTCTACCAGTGCATTTGCGTCTCTCCTGCTTCTCACTGCCTCACCCATTTCCTCCTCCCAGGTGAACGTTGTCGCCCCACCACAACTTCCACTACTGATACTTAGATGTGTATATACTTGTAAATTGCTTTGCATTGTTTAGTTGGCATGCAGTTGCAGAAGATTTTGTCGTGTTCATGTCTAAATGTTACAAAGCGGTTGCAGTCTCAGTGTGTGTGTTTGTTAATAGACTAGCACGGACTAATTTGCCCTCTTTTCCTTCCACTCAGAATGGCACACATAATAAAATTCGTGAATAGCTGGTTTTGGTGGGAGAACATCTGGATGCCTGCCAACTGTAGCTGGTCGGACTATGAAGATCGCAATGGATACATCTTTCCGAAACCACACCAGTTATTGGTCACAATTCCATATGCTTTTGGGATGTTGGCTATTAGGTTCTTTGTTGAAAGGTATCTATTTCTCTTTTACTTTTATCTATTGCTTTTCCAAAGCTCCAAGAATGCGAAGGCAATGGGAAGATTGCTTCAAATTGCCCGCATGTAGTTGTAATGTTACGAAGCTGTGTGTAGCTTCATTAGAATTCTTTCTTGTTTGGTTTTGAAGCCTCTTGAAGTAAGTGCCTTGCTCCTTTTCCCCATTCTGTTTCTAGCTGAATAGATTTTTGTAGCATTGAGGTGAGGAGCTTATACCTTAGACCACATGCCTCTCAAGGAGCGGCTCAGGATCTAAAACTGAGGTGTGGCCCAACCTAGAGCAGGTTACCGCATATATTATTATTATTATTATTAAAGATAAGGTGGTGTTGAAAGACAAAGATGAAGGCATATGTAAAGAAAGAAATTGAGGGATAAAATACCATAAAACAAAAGTTGCATGCATTAATTCACAGTAATATGCACCAAGATAGGCATCAATGGCAGATATTATTATTATTATTATTATTATTATTATTAATAATAATAATAATACCTCACCCATCCTTCTGGGTTACCCCAGCTAAGGCTGACCTCACTACTTTATTTATTCATTTTATTTAAGTTTCAGCAATGGAAATGAAGTCTTTTGCTATTGTACTGTCATGTCTTAAAATATTTACAGAAAAATGAATGAAGAATATAATATTTCAACTTTGACTTCTTGGGAGGAGGGGGAAGTACATGGAAGCACCTGCCCAGATCAGGGCTTGGCTGAAAGCCAGGAAGGGGTGAAGCCTCCAGTTCTCCTACCCAGGCCATCAGTCTGATCTGCTGCATTGCTGAAGCAACATCTCTTGGCCATACACCAGGCATCCTTCTCTGGAGAAATTAGCTGGAAAGAGATGGGAGCAGTTATATATACGGATATATCAGAAGCAGTTTGTTTGGCAGGTGTGGAACTGCTATGCTAACTTCTTGGCAGGTGCGTGCTGCTACTTATGAGCAGGGAGGGTTGAGGTGGCAGAGAGGCAAATGCACCAGCAGAGCCAATCTGGGCGGTCCTTAAACTTTGCACCGTTCTGACCTCTGCACCGCCTCACCTATTTCCCTCCTGGTAAGCAATAGCAATCCTCTTTCTGCGAAGCCAGCACTGTGGCTCCACCCGTCATGTTGTCTCTCTTCTTATCCAGCAGTACAGTGGTACCTTGGTTCTCAAACTTAATTCGTTCTGGAAGCCCGTTCCAAAACCAAGGTGCGCTTTCTCATAGAAAGTAATGCAAAATGGATTAATCTGTTCCAGAATTTTAAAAACAACTCCTAAACAGCAATTTAACATGAATTTTACTATCTAACGAGACCATTGATCCCTAAAATGAAAGTTATAATCAATGTACTGTACTATAAAATAAATAAGACAGTATTGTAGATGATAAAAATTGAAATTAAATATTTTTCTTACCTTTACTGATGATAGTCCTTGTTTGGATGGGGGGCTTTTATCCATTTCCGCAGTCACACAATCAACCAGTCAGGAGCTGAACTGGGTTCCACACAGTCACAAAAACAAATGAACCGAAAAAGCCTCAAAAACAAAAACGCATAATAAATAGCAAAAACAAAAGTGCCAAACTTAATCTGTTTGACTTCCGAAATGTTCAAAAACCAAGGCGCAGCTTCTGAGTGGTGCAGGTCCCCCGGAAACAATAGCTGACAGCCGTATCGGACGCTCGGCTTCCAAAAAACGTTCGAAAACTGGAACACTTACTTCCGGGTTTTGGGCATTTGGGAACCAAGGCGTTTGAGTGCCAAGGCATTTGAGAACCAAGGTACCACTTTATTCCTAAGTGCAGCACAGTCCAGCTAAAAGAGTGGCTGATTTTCCATGTAAAACCCTTTCCATAGTCACAGGTATCATTTCTCGGTGTTGCAGTAACAGTAGGAAAAGCAAACTCATCAGCAGATAGCACAGTTTCCACTGAAATCTATTAGAATCATTGCCATTTCTTTCTCTTTTAAAAAAGGCTCCTCTTTTGCATCTTTCCAGGTGCATTGCTGCTCCTCTAGCAAATCTCATGGGCATAAAGAGTGTGAAGCGTGTCCGGCCCCAGAAGAATCCCACCTTGGAAACATTTTTCAGGAAGTGCACAAAAAAACCATCACAGGTGAAGGCTTCTTTAAAAGGATGTATCTTTAGTAGATGCCTGTTCTCAAAACCATCGCCTGTGCCTGTCTGCATTGGAGGTATAAGAAGGCACCATTTTCCATTCCATCCTTCATCTGTCGCATGTAGCACTGCTTCCATTCTTCTGCAGTTCCTCTTCCACCAAAAACTGCATTCTTCGTCTTGCTGTCTTTTTGACTTAGCACTTAGTTACAGAAATCACGCAAGTTACACGGGGGCCACTACTGAAAAGGCTCTTTCTCTCATACGCCAAACACACTTTCCCCACAAGCATGGGAAGACTTTAATTAGAAATAGAGAAGATGATAGTTTTAGAAATGGTTAGAGAGCAAGCACCATAAGATAGCAGAAGCACATGTGTTGGAGTAAGAAAGGGGAGGCAAAAAGTTGGCTGGCAGGATAGTAAATAGAGACAGGTAAGGGGGGGTGCCCATTTTCCCAAAGCAGCTTCCCAAAGCAACAAGTGTGGTATATCTCAAAATGGATCAATTTAGGCTGATATCCTGTACACAATTATATGGAAGTCCCGCTGAGGTTAGTTTCAGATTAGCCATGCTGCTGGTTAATCTATTATTGTTGTTAATTAAATTTGTATACCGCCCCCAGTGCTTTTTTCCTGGGGGGACGCAGGGGTAAGCATACCCCTAAATGTTTTGTGAATCTAAGTTTGGCCTCCTTGAGGGGCAGTATTTCAATATGAGTAGGAAAATAAGAGTACCCCTAAACATTTTTTAAAAGAAAAAAATCACTGACCACCCCTCATTCAAAGATCCCAGGGCAGCTCACAACAGAAAAATACACAATGAGAATACAAATCTACCAATACAATCTACCAATGAAAGAACTGAGCCTTACCACATTAGTAGTTGAAACCAAGCTCTGAATAAGGAAGAACTCTCAGGATCCTAAAATCATAATGTGGATAGTAAGAAAACAAAGCATAAACGAAGAGTCTTGTGACACCTTGAAAGACTTAACACATTATATGCCACGAGCTTTTGTGCTCTTTAGCCCACTCTGTCCGGTGGTTGAATTGCCATGAAATCTTATGCCACAATAAATGCACAAGTCCTTAAGGTGTTGTTTTCACTGCAACAAACTTGAGTCAGCCCCTGCCCTCCAGAAAATGTGGAAAGTCAATGTCAGAAAGAAGCGGCTACTTCCTAGTGATGAAAACTGCAGCCTTAGAAATGAGAAGGTCCTTTCTTTTTGTCCTTACTTTGCCTCTAACCTGTGGCATGTGTGTGCCACTGACTTTCCCTGCAGTTGGAGATACGTGGATTAGCCAAAAAGTGTAACTGGACGGTGCACCTGGTGGAGAAATGGTTCCGGCGGCGGCGAAATCTAGAAATCCCAACTCTGCACAAGAAATTCCAGGAAGCTTGGTAAGAACAGGCAGCATGGCCATCTGTGTGTGTAGAAAATGAGCATGCCAGGGAGGAGAAGATGAGGCTAGGAGGACCTTTCTTGGTCTCTCTCCCCCCCCCACCCCCATTATAGTTGCATGGAAGAGTATTCCATCAAGGGAGCCCACTCCTGCAAACTGAAGGCAAAATGCCCAATCACAGATTTGTTAGCTCTGTAAGGACAAAGCATTAGATCCCTGACTCTTCAGTAAGGGCTGTACCAATTAGGGGAAGGGGGTGGGTGGGTGGAAATTCAATTCAGTTCACATTTAAAGGCAAACATAACTAATTCACACTTTCCAAAAGAATCTGAGAACCAAAACACAGCCCTTTGCATTATTTTCAGAAATATATGAAATTGCCCTTGAATGTATGATATACATATACAAATATGTGAATGTACCCTTTTGGTACACATTACTTTTCTGGAGAACGGCATTACAAAATTCAGAGAAGCGTGATGGATGAGGGTGTTTCATTTCGCTTATTGTTTTGAATTTGAATTGAACTGAATTGGATTTCTCCTCCATCCCTACATATGACTAAATCACTCAGTGTGGGAGAGCTAATATTTCATCATTCTGAATATTAGGAATAAAAATTATCCGGTTCTTTGTTCCTCCCATTCCCGCACCCAAAGCTTTCCTGTATTACATCACTGTATTTCCACAGTGCAGGAGTAATGGCAATTTAAACCTCACCTTGTTTGCCTTTCACGGAATCTCAGCAGGTTCAAACTTGCAGATGATCCTGGGTACCATTTTGTTTTTAACTTTGCCTGTTTAGTTTTCTTCTCAGATCTCAGAATAGCTAAGTAAAACTGAGTTCTTGGTTTCAAAAGCCAAAGCTTAGCTGCCAAAGACCCTTTGGAAGTAAGTCCCACTAAATAACACGAGGCTTACTTCCAGGTAAACAGCAGAGGTTATTCCATGTAGGGTTCATTCTGCTATTGTTCATGTCAACTGGCCAAGAGGGGGGTGGGTAGAGGTGTTGCTTAGCAACTAAGCCGAGCAGCATGATCTTCGCTGGTGGTGCATCTCTGATAGGCTGTTTACTTCTGAGGGAATTTTCATCTGTATGGTCCTGGCTTCCAGTTCCTGAGGAACAAACACTCAAAGGAGAATTCTTCCCAAAGACTTTAAAGTGTAGATTGCAAATTGCTGGGTGTAAGGCAATACACACAATTAATCCTGAATACACCTAAAGGTCAAAAGATGCTGTCACGCCCTTGCTAATCCTATAAAGAGGAAAGGAACCAACACAGCTTAATGTAGCAAGTGTTTCTGGAATATCTCACTATGCCCAGTTGGTGGAGCCCTCTGTCCCTTTCGCCTTTGGTATCTCTTAGATCTAGATGCCTGGGGAGGTGTCTCTGCCTCCTGAGAGGCAGCCAGGCCCGGTGGAGCAAAGGCAGAGCTTCTCCCAGTGTCTGACAGCGTTGGGGTGGGTGGCGTGGCAGGCACTGTGGAAGTGTCAGAGACAGACTCTGACCTGTGAAGAAGCAGGCAGGACTCTCATTGCGGAGAGGGATGAGATGAGAAATCTAAAGTTACAATATATTAAGATAAAAGATTAAGATAGAATCAAAGAGGGAAAGGATTTGCTGAATTAACTAATTTGAACTGGAATACAAAAAAGGGAGGTGTGAGGAGGTCAGGGAAACAAGCAAATGAAAGATAAGATATGGAAAGACTAATTTGTTTTTTAACTGTTTTTATTTTGTATTTTCATTTTCTATTTTTTTCTTTCTTTTTTCGCTTATTTTTGTAATATGTTGAAACTTTAATAAATATCTTATATAAAAAAAAAGAGATGAGAGAGCAGGTTGAGGGACCCCTACCCCATCCCAGATCTTCACCACCAGGCTTCCCCAATCCTGGCAGAGACACCCACATCATGCTGGAGCTTTCCCCCAGGTCCTCAGCAAGCCCTCCATGTGCATCATCCTGACTTGGCCAGCCCAGGACAGTATGTTTGGTTGAATGTCTTCCTGCTTTGTACAAGGCCTGAACTAAGAAAGTTGAGTTTGCTTTTTGAGTTGACTTTTTTCTCCCTTAAATGAGTTTGCCAACAATGCATAGAATCAGTCTTTTCATGTAGGTTTTGCTTTCCCTTCTTTGATGTTGGCTCAGTGGTCTCGCGGGTGGCCATACATCTGCAGTCTACCAACAATATTCACCTACTCCTTCCTTCTTCCACTTCATTACAAATCTTCCACTTCCTTTCATTGGGCTGTGTGATTCTAGCTAGCGTTATATCTGCACCCCCAAAGGCACACTCCTCCATTGTCTCCCGAGATAGACGGATGCCATCACAAAAAAATATCTGCACTGGCATTTTTCACCAAACATTAAGGAATGATATTTGATGATTTTAAGTTGTCTTAGCTTCTCATTTTTCCAATCTTAACTTCAGTTCTCCACATTTCTGCAGCAATTTGTGTTTGTTTGTTTGTTTGTTTGTTTGTTTGTTTGTTTGTTTAAAAAGCTCATTAAATTTAGCAGCATTTTAATGTGCCTTTCACCCACCAAACACATTCGTGTATGAAGTTTTGTCTAATGTACACATTTTTGCAAGCCACTTGACCTAACACAATGCATTTTGTATGTTATTTTCCGCAATTATATGCATGTATATGCACAATTTCCCCTAATATAAGTGTAAAATTCTGAAGCATGTCTGTGTTTCGGTTCTTGTGTTGTTTCAGAAAGTGCAAGTTTGTTAGATTTGCCTTTAAATGTGAACTGAATCAGTTCTCTCCCCCATCCCTGATGCCCATCAAAACTGCACTTTGCAATCATAATCAGAAGTAGGATTTTTGAACCAGTTTCAGCTAACTACAATACTAGCAGTAATCAGAAACAATGTTAAAGCTAACCACAATTTACCGTATTTTTCCATGTATAAAACATGGGGTTTTTTACCCAAAAAAAGGGTTTAAAATTGGGGCTCCTCTTATACACAGGTAGTGCTGAGCGGTGTTTTCTTAATTTGGAGTCCCCCAAAATAGGGAGCGTCTTATATACGGAAAAATACGGTAACTTTGAAAATGAAAGGAAGGAGTTAGGATGAAATGAGGGAGGTGGAAAGAAGGGATCTTTTTGATCTCCAAAATATGTACAGAAAATTGGGCAGCATTATGTCTACTCCAGATGTGTGACTTCTGTGTTCTTAAATCCTTTTTTCCTTCTTTTTTTGCAGTTGGCGATTTATATTCTACTTGACATCATGCATTGCTGGAATTGTATTTCTCTATGATGTAAGTTAAAGGGAGATAACAAGTGAACCTTTAATAAAATCTTCATCAAAACTAAGGCCTGATCCTGCTTTCTCTAAAGCAAGATTTGCCATGTGCCCAGAATTTTTCCTTGTTGCAAAATAAGGGCTAGATTCCCAATTTCTCAGCAGTTGCTTGTCATTATAATCCCAAATCTAGTCTTATAAATGGGGATTTATGAAATTTTATTTGATTAAGAAGAAGCCAGGACTGGGGAATTATCCTGCCCTCCTCTTAGTCCAATACAGATATATGCATGTTGTGGTGTAGGGGTTTCTCCCCCGCCCCCCAACACTGGAACTTTGCAGAACATCTGTAAGTGGGTTCTCCCGCTAATAGTAAAAAGAACCCTGTAAGGTAGGCTGGAATTACCATCCTCATATTGCAAATGGCGGTGAGTGGCAGGTGAGTGAGAGTGGCTTGCCCCAGGCCACTTAGTGAGTTTGTGGCAGAGGTGAGATTTGAACCAGCTCAGTTGCTCAGCCAGTGTGCTGCGCTCACTCTGTAACATGGAAAATAAGGGTAATTATCTGCCTAATTCTGTTTTGTTTTGTTTTCCCCTAGAAACCCTGGCTTTATGATCTTTGGCAGGTTTGGGCCAACTATCCATACCACGTGAGTGCTGTTTCTGCTACTTCTCTTAGAGTTCTAATTGCCCCCTCTTTCTGAAAAGTTGTCCCACAGCGCCGTGTTGAGTTTTGCATGCCCACTAGTCAAAAAGAGAAGAATGCATAAGAACATAGGAAGCTGCCTTTTCCCAGGCCAGATTATTGGTTGATCTAGCTCAGTACACTGACTGGCTCTTTAGGATTTCAGTTAGGGGTCTCTCCCAACCCTATATGGAGGTGCTGGGGATTGAACTGCATGCAAAGTCCTTGCCTCATCCCCCAAAGAAGGGAAAATCTATCCCAGGGTCATAACTGCTCCCCTTCTTTTTGGCATCCTTCTGTTATTCCTTGGCCACATTGCTAACACCAATACCAGTGTTTTCTCCCCTCCCCCAGACTGTCTGACTCAAGAGGTAATGGGCATTCTTTCTCTTTCCAGTCTTTGCTGGCGTCCCAGTATTGGTACTATGTCCTCCAGATGAGTTTCTATAGTTCGCTGTTGCTTACTCTTGGATTTGACACCAAAAGGAAGGCAAGTCGTGATAACGGTTCACAATTTACTGTCCACAAATGTTGTATGATTTTCTGCCTTTTTTATTGGAGAAGAAAAACGTTGTACTGCAGTGCTCCATAAGTGCTATACAGCCGTACCTCGGAAGTCAAACAAAATCCGTTACGGAAGTCCTTTCGACTTCCAGAACGTTCGGAAACCAAAGCGCGGCTTCTGATTGGCTGCAGGAAGCTCCTGCAGCCGATCAGAAGCCACGGAAGCCCCACTGGGTGTTCGGCTTCCAAAAATAGTTCACAAACCAGTACACTCACTTCCAGGTTTGTGGCGTTCGGGAGCCAAAATGTTTGAGAACTAAGCTGTTCAAAAACCAAGGTACGACTGTACTTAGTTTAGTGCCGGGAGAGAACTGGATGCTGAGAGTGCAAGGGCTCATGATAGCAACTCAGAGAAGCCAGGGCACTATAGGGTGAAATGCACACGCCGAAGGCATTTTGAGAGGCATACTGTGTATCAGTGCTGATATGTTAATGCTAAGAGACTCCAAGTCAAGATGGCTTCGAGGAACAATTAATGGACACAAAGGAAGCTATAGGAAGGACAGGGAAGGGCATAATGAAGGTTATGTTGTTCTCTGCATCAAAGAGGACCTAGAGTTCAACAAGTAAGAAACTCTCAAAGGGGCAGGTTTTTCCCACATAATCACTGTGGGTGGTAATGCTATTTATTATTAATAATAAGTTTAATTCTGCCCTTCCTCCTACAGAATACTTTCAGGGACTTCTTTCTACAGAGGCAAATACATCCATAAGAATTCATATTAAAAAAAAGTTTCTAAAAACAGTTTCAGCTAAAAACATTGTAAAAACATTCTGCTACCAGGTCCCAAGAGTAATTTAATACTTCAGATGTTCCCTCGTGAAAGAAGGCAACTTCTTTCAGAACATAAAATTCCCTTCAAATATAGCAGCTTCGGTGGAGGTGTGAACAGGACTGACTTTCAGATAGCCTTGCTCCAATACTGTCACTTGCAAGCATTGGCGTTGGCTTGTGCCACAGGTAAGCTATGCCCCACCACAATCATCTTGCTGAATACACTCAGAAAAAGAGACAGAAGGCATCCAACACTGTGTTGGGGTTTGGTGATTGATGGAGAAGTAGTAGCCATTAACAGAGTCTCATCAAGCAAAAGCTAATCAGGACCCTGGACAGCTCCCAGTGGGTCTTCCTGGATGAGCTTTGGAAAATGTTGTCTCAGCACAACATTAGCTCAAGAAATGTTGCACAACATTGCCCCCCCCCAAAAAAAAATCACATATATCAGGATGAAAGGTATTTAGAAATGAATAATTGTGATAAACTACATGTGAGAAAAGATTTTGTGATAAAATATGTATTTAAATGTCATGCTTTTTAAAGATGTACAGAATAATGTGGATGGGATGGAACGACCTTATGAATTAACACTTGTGACATTGATGCATACTGTGAATAGACTGATTGGTCCTTACCTATCGCCCATGTGTAAATTTTTGCACAGTTCTGTCTTTATGAAAGATGCATCAACTTCCACCTTCAATATGCATCTGGTGGCTGAAAGTTGAATATTTTATGCTATGCTCCTGCACTATACAATATGCTCTCTGCTTGAACCAAGCATCTGCACAAGCTACAGAATGGGGATAGTGGCAGTGATGCGCTTCAAAGCAATATGGTCCATCTTCAATATGGTACTAATGGTCCCTATATTGATGTGGCTTTGCTACACCTGCAAAATGTAACGGAGCCAGAGTTTCTGGAAGGAGCACAGAATCAGGCAGCCTCCTTTTTATTTATACAACCAAAGCACTTACCCAACGCGTTGGCTTCTGTGCATCTACCCAGCCCTGTTTTCTTGAGTTCAGATTCCGTGTTTAGGCTGGGGACAGTCAAGATGCTCTCAGTTGGCTCCCTTCCTGAATGTCCCCTTTTTGCCACCGCCACTGTTGCTTCTTCTGACTCACTGGCCTTCCCCTCTGGGCTCAATCTGTAGCATCTCCCAGAGCTGATAGATAAACCATGCAGATGCTACTACTCTTTGTCACCTCTTGCTCAGACAAGGAAGACAAGTGAATAGGAGGCAGCAGCAAGGGATTGGCAGGGCACCCCTGGTGGATCATGGGTTTCAGGAGGTGCACATCAGTGCTGACTCCTGACACTGACCATGATGTCAGGTGTAACAAACACATTTCTGTTAAACTTGTTTGAAGAAGAGGGTTTGAGTCATTATTTATTCTTTTCTCCAACAGGACTTTAAAGCCCATGTGGTTCACCATTTTGCTGCCCTTGCCTTGATGTTCTGCTCCTGGTGTAGCAATCACGTCCGCATAGGAACGCTGGTCATGCTCATCCACGACTCTGCGGATTTCTGGCTGGAGGTAGAATCATAGAATCATAGAATCATAGAGTTGGAAGAGACCACAAGGGCCATCGAGTCCAACCCCCTGCCAAGCAGGAAACACCATCAGAGCACTCCTGACATATGGTTGTCAAGCCTCTGCTTAAAGAAAAAAAGCTGTTTGGTTTCCAGTGCCTTCTATTTATAAGATCATACTGGGTTTGTGTTCTTTGTTTTGCTCGTTCAGACATTTGGTTTGACAAGCAAAGATAGTCAATTTTGGCCTATGTCGTTGTCAACCAGTTCTACGTGAAGGGCAGCTGATGTCCCATTGGGAAATGAAAGTGCTTTCCTTTGAAAATTATTTTGCACTTTCAAAGGTCTATATAACAAGCATTTGAGAACTTCTCCCTCAATCTATTTTGGTTGGCTGAATCAAAAGTGGTAGATGGATCAATGGAGGTAGCAAAGAGGTTGCATTTGTTTTGATTCGTATATTTGCAAATGATGTGAGACTGTGTGAAGCATTGGTCAGTAGTGCAATAGCCAGCTCTAAGTCTACACCCCCCTTGTTCCTCATGTAAGATGTTGTTTTTGTGGAGCCTAGCAGGTGTCTTGGCTAGGTTTCTAGCATAAAGTTTGGAGGGAACATCCAGAAAACTAATAGGGCGATAATTTGGGGGTGAGAGTTTTATCCCCTTTCTTGTGAAGGGACTTCAGGATGGATCTGGAAGCATATTCCTCCCCCCAACTATGTTCCTGTTCCTTCAGAGGGAGTGCAACCCTGTCCAGAACTGGTGAACTACCCAACTCCCAGACCCGAGAACCGCTCATTCACAGTGCCTCCATCTCACCAGGATTCAGTTTCAGCTTGTTGGCCCTCATCCATCCAGGCACTGTTTTAAAATAGTCAGAGCTTCTCCTGAGTCATATGTAGCAGAGAGTTAGAGCTGGGTGTCATACTGATGATACCATGCCCCATATCTCCTAATGACCGCTTCCAGCAGCTTCATATTGTTATTGAACAGCATTGGAGAGGAGCACTGCAGGGAAGATGCTGGCATAGGAAGAATTACACCATTGGTCCCTCCCTGTCTGCACTGGGCCAGAAGTATGGAGCGCCGGAGGTGTCAGTATGAGTGGGGTGGGACGGAAGTACAGTGAGATATGCTTTGATAGCTCTCGCAGGGAGGTTTAGAAAGGACTGGGAGTGGCAGACTGCAGATTAGATGAAAGCCTATGGAAGTAGGAAGCAAGCTGCTATTGATTTATCAGGCTCAATATTGTCAGCACTGACCAGCAACTGCTCTTCAGGCTTCCAGACAGGGAACATTCCCAACTCTACCTGGACGTCCCCAAGATTGAACCAGGGATCCTCTTCATACAAGACAGAGAACCATACCAAGAAGGGCCAGCTCATGGCTGTTCTAGCACACTGTGCAACCGTTTGATAATCCTGGAGATTTGAAAGAGGGGAATCTCTTAAATTTATGGATGTTGCCTAATGGATTTGTTTGCATTCCAGGCAGCAAAGATGTTCAACTACGCTCGCTGGGAGAAAGCTTGCAGTTTCTTCTTCGTTGTCTTCTCCATCGCATTCTTCATCACACGAATGATCTTCTTCCCCTTTTGGTGAGTTGCTTCATATGGACTAGCAATGTGAACACATGTTCAGGGTAAAACAAAGGGTTGTATCCAATGTAGCACTACGTAATGGGCCTATCCAGATAGGAATTTTCACTTTCTCCATAGAACTCCCCTGCCTCTCCTGAAAAGTGTTCTACACTTCCCTCACCATCTGGAGGAGATTTGGGGAGGGTGGGGAGAGGAGAGGAGAGGAGAGGAGCAGAGCCTAAAGTTCAATTGTGCAAGTGGAGATCCATACACTGATGGGATGCATTAGTTGGACACCAATATTACAAAATTCAACTTTTGTTATAGTAGTGATTGTGCCCTCTATTGGCTGTGTTCAAGGGTGAGTGGCATTTGTTATTCAAGAAGGGACACCTAGTCCTGCATCAGCCTGCCTAGGTACTTAGATCAGGGATGGAGATCAATGGATGAAAGGCGGGTTAAAAATGCCCTTAATGAATGAATGAATGATACTGCCTGAATGGCACCATCCATAAAGAGAGGAAGAGACCTCCTTGCAGGTGTAGAGGGGTTCACAGAGATATACAGAAGTGGAAAAACAAGCAAACAGGAGCAATTTGAATTGAAAAACTGAATGAATATGGCAAGTTCTGTAGAGGTTATTTTAAATTTCTTTTTTTTACTTTCCTTTTTTTCTGATCCTTTTATATTTCTGAAATAATGAGGCTTGGGGGCTTCCTTTTGAAGAAGGAAGGCACAGAGCACCAATGTGCCTTTGCTTCTACACATGGTCCATGATCTTTGTGTTGCCGTTTGGTATCAGAGGAGCATGATGAGCTTTAGGATAGAAAACCTTTCCTGGCTGCTTTTGATTTGAGCTCTCATCTGTGTTTGTGCTCTGTCAGCATTCAAGTGCGTCTGTTCTTAATTTTAGCATTGCCTTTTTTTTTTAATAGACTTTTTGTTTTGTTCTGCATTTTACTTTTAACTACTGTACACTGCCTTGATGCCCTAAGGGCAGCATAAAAGTCAACCACAATTACAGTGATCCATGATGTTCTTTGGAAAATGGCTTGTCTCTCTTCTCTGTGCATTTGGACACCTCTTGCAATATTGCAACCAAATTTTGCATGATGGTTCCTGAGATCAAGGAGTAGGATTTCATCTGTATTTGGATACAGTGGGACACCATTTCAAATCAAGACGGCAGGCTGAACAGATGGTTCCTCATTCCTTCCCCCTGCAAATATTTATATTTTTATCGACTTTTCAATAATATACATTAAAGCAGCACAATAATATCCATACAAAGAAAAGAAAAATGTCAATACCCCCCCTCTTGCCAGAAGTCAGGTAAGTATTATCCATATTCTATAGTATGTCCTTTACCCATGTTTGGTTACTATCTAGTTTTGTATCCCTTCAACACGGTTTTTTATCATAGTTTCTATCACTCAACAGAGATAGGGCACACACCAACATAGTTTTGACAAAGGAAAAGCAACCAGGAAGTCAAGATCAGTACTGATGCAGCCAACATAATGTTCTCCAGTCCACATGTAATCAGTGGCCACCAATTGGCCTAGAAAACACCCGATTTCTCTCTTTTCCTTTCAATACTGCTGCACCATGAGTTGTTTCCTCTGCAAGTGCGAGTCTCCAGACATTTTTGAACCATAGTTGAACCTCATTCCTGTGATGAATGGCCAGGTTTTCAACCATGCTTTGACATGATTTGGTGCCATCTTGAATCAAGATGGTAAATGGAACCTTTCAAGGCTGCACAGATTTCAACTGCTGGTATCAAAATGGCACTGATCTCTTTGTCTTGTGGAATTCCCAAGCAAAGCAGGGCATGGGGATGTTAGTAAAGGCATACACTGCTTAAAATCCACCAGGGTCTCATGCACACTTTGTCATAATACTTTTTCTATTTCAGGATTCTACGATCCACATTGATCTATCCTATATATTATACACAGACATTCGTCCTAGCATATATCGTCTACAATGTACCTTTATTGATCCTGCAAGGTCTGCATCTGTACTGGGGCTACTTAGTTTTCAAAATTCTGAAGAAATTCATCTTTATAAAGGTAAGACTTAAGCTTCAGCCAAAGCATCCGGGTAAGTGTATGATTTGGGCAGAAGTCCATTTGATAATGATAGACTAGGAAACTCCCAGTTCTCTTAACTCTTCGCTTTTTGAGAACTATCATTTACATCAAGGGTAGAAAAACTCAGGTCTGGGATCCAGAAAGCACCCCTCCATGCCCAGGGGTACCAACTTGAATAAAATATCGGGGGGGGGGAGGTAAGTCCCACCCCTCATAACTGATCACATGACAGGGCTCTCCCAAACCATCTGAATGGCAATGCCCAGCCCCCTCAAATATTTTATTGGGGGGGTCGAAAGGACCTTGGCTTCTAGGTGTTGGCTCCTATGTCCATGTCTCTCTGTATGGCCCCTGTATGTTTGTGTTTGTAGTTTTACACAATATTTTAGAAATGGAGCATCAAAACAGCAGTTGTCTGTACAGCGGTGGTCATAATACTGCCCTTCCTTTGCCATCTGGGATGACTTCAACAGGCTCTCCCTCCCATCTGTTTTCCAAAGGGTTTGCAAAGTTGGCTGTGAAGGCGGCTTGTGTCCCCAAAGCTGTTAAGCAGATTTCAGAAGCAACTTGCTTGGCAGGCCATGTCACGAGATCATCTGTTTATAGAAGTTGGCACTATGCTAGATATTTAAGTGCATATCTCTCTGCAGCCATCCTCACTCCTGCAACTACATATTGCTGGTTCAGGGGAATGCCAATTAGATGTGGGCCTCGATTTAGCAAGATTTTGTCTCTGTGTCTAGTTACTTTTTGGTGGTATTCATTCAGGAAGCAAATTTTATTTTTTATCAACAGCAGGAATTAAGACAATTCTGAATTGTAACCTCAGGGGCAGTACCACTGGCTGTAGGAAATGTGTGATCATTGCCAAAGTTTTCCATCTCCTCCTCTTCCTTGTTTCATTGATTCATGCAAAATGAACAAGGTGATCCCTATTTCACTTCATTGGCTGCTGCTTCTGAGGCTAGGGAAACTGGTAGCATGATGAAATCGCAGCATGTATTTCATATCACTACACAAAAACCTTAAGAGGAGCACCTGTACCTCAGTGGCAGAGCCCAAAAGCGTCCTGGTTCAATTCCCCAGCATCCCCCAGGACTTGGAAAGACTCTTGGCTGAAACTCTAGAAAGCTGCTGCCAGTCTGTGCAGGTCTAGCTCAGGATAACACAGCTTCCCATGTTCTCAGGGGAGAGGCCATAGATCAATATTGCCGCAGATAGTTTGCAAGAAAAAGATACCACATTCAGTCCGTGGCATCTTTCCCATACGGAACTCTGGAGAGGGCTGAAATCAAATCGAGTTTGTAATCTAGGCAAATACAAAGCTAGGACATGGATTCATTATGACAGCACCCTGTGTTCCAGCTGTCTGGCACGCTCTTTTCAGCAGCAAGTAGATACATATCCTCCTTCATCTCTAGTTCTTTACATGTAGAAACATCAGTTCTACAAGCAACATTTTATGGCTGTGGTTCTTAACTATTTTGGGAGTCGTTGACCTCTTTGAGAATCTGATGAAAGCTATGGGCCCCTTTCCCCAGTAAAATGCAAATAAAGGCATAGCACTAAGTTTATTGCATTGGGGAAATTTGTGTGTGTGTGTGTGTTGTTCATGGATGCCCTGATGGTCCATGGACCACAGGTTAAGAATGCCTGCTTTGTGGCTTCAAAATAACTATACCTTAATGACTGTCTGAGCCCTTATATCCCAGCCCAATCACCGAGATTATCCATTCCAGATGTATTAACACATGTTACAGAGGCCCGATTGGCCTACACTGGATGTTGGTCATTTTGTGTTGCAAGTCCCATGCCTATGAGATACTCTTCCAGCATATATTTGGCAGAGGCATTCTCACTTTTGACTTTCAGACACCTCTTGGAAACCTTTGTTATGCAGACAGCCCTGTTCGGTTTTTAGTTTATCTGTATTTGTGTCTGTGTGTGTTTTGTCCTGAACCCCTGGCCTACCTGGCAGCAAGTCAGCATGGCAAGTCCAAAGTTCAAAGACCAGGGGCTAATCCACACAAGAAAAGTCCAAAGGTCAGGAAACACTGTCCAGGATTAATCCAAGTAGCCAAGTCTGAAGTCCAGGAGACAGTCCAGAGTCAAACCCGAAGCACAGTCCCATAGAGAGCATCCAAGTCAAGGTCCCTCAACATGGGCAGCTGAGCAGACACAACCCCTCAGCTCTTGTTTCCCTTTTGTTCTTTTCATGCTGATTGCAACATGGTGAGGCATGTGACACTCACCTGTTCTGAGCCTACTGAGGAATCACACACCTCTTCCCAGAGCTAGCAAGCCCCACCTGCCTAGCTAGTGAGCTGGGCTGTGGGCTCTTGCCTGTCTCAGTTTCCTAGAGTGCTACTCCTGTTTCTCCCTACTCCTCAGAGAGTAGACAGGGGCCCCTTTGGCTCTGGTGATGGGTCCCAGTGCTCTGGTTCCTGCACATTGATCCCCATCTCCTCGCCATCCTCTGTCACCCTGTGAGTACTTCCTTCCCCATCCCCTTGCCAGGATCCCATTTCTCCTCCTCCCTTCTTCTTCTTCTTCTTCTTCTTCTTCTTCTTCTTCTTCTTCTCATCCTGCCAGTTCATGTCATGTTTTAACTTTGTACACCACCCTAATATTTTGTGATATAGAATGTGATTTGTGGTATAGAAATACTTTTATACATAAATGTACTACGCACCTGCAAAGGGCCAGGTCACCAGTTGGATTTCCTGAATTTGTCACCAGTTGGATTTCCTGAATTTGTGTTTTTGAAGAAAAGCTTTTGTTAGGTTAGGTTAGGTTAGGTTAGGTTAGGTTAGGGAATAGTAACATAGAATCCACTCCCCACTCCCAACCCCGTTTTGTGTGGTTTGGGCTACCATCTTGATGTTCAAGGATTTCTGTTGCTAAGAAGCACATTTTGTTTCTGTAATACAACTCCCTCTTGTAGTTACAATGCCCTCTTGATTCAAGCTTCCAGCATCACTGAAACATGTCCAGAGCCATAATGTCTAAACATAGGGTGGATATTTTAGGGACAAGCTTTAAAACATGTGGGGAATTGAGGATGTGGAATGATGTACTGGTGGAAAGTATATTGCCAAAGGGAATCCGCTGAGATTAACTGCTTTCTTTCCAGAGCTGAATGAATGAGTATAAAGGATGGCTATGCATCTATACTACTGAGGCAAATTAAGGCAGGACACTTTTAGAGCATGGCTATTAAAGGATACTGCCGTTGTCTGAGATGTGCAGAATGCCTGTAGGTTTTGAGTTTTTGACTTATACCCTATGCAAGCATTAGATTGCCAGGCTGTGTGTTGTGTCACACCCGCAGCATCCAGTTAAATCACTCATATGCCAGCCATGGCTTCCCAAAGAATTCTGAGAACCGTGTTTTGTTGAGGGATATGATCTCATGAACCTACAATTAACAAACAGCTCCTAGGATTCTCCTAGACTCTTAAAATGGTATAAGAGTGCTTTAAATGGATGTTGTGTGGACGTGACTTCAGAATAGATGATCATGTGACAGAAAAAGCCTAGCTCCTCCTCCTTCCTTTGAGCAGAGCCAATCCAGTGGCCTGGGAAGGAGGGGTTCTTGCAGATGTAAGTGATCCTTCAAACAGCCTGGTCCCAAATGTTTTAGGGCTTCAGAGATCTAAAACAGCCCCTTAAATTATCCGGCATCCTAAGGAAGAACCAGTCACCTGGGTCTTGCCCATAAAAAGCAAGTCTAGAGTGAGAAACTAGGGCAGGCACCCCCAAACTCGGCCCTCCAGATGTTTTGGGACTACAACTCCCATCATCCCTAGCTAACAGGACCAGTGGTCAGGGGTGATGGGAATTGTAGTCCCAAAACAGCTGGAGGGCCAAGTTTGGGGATTCCTGGACTAGGGTGATGCCTGCTGTTTCCAGGAATTCTTTAACATTGTGAGACTTTTTGTGTGGGTGAGCTGAGAGTTTGTTTGGACCGTGGGAGAGACCCCAGAGGCTGAGAGGGAGGTTGCGTTAGAAGGAAAATGAACTGGTATTGATTTATACATATTAGTGACAAAAGTCCCAATTTTATCTATAACTCTGCATTTTTGTCTGTTGTTGCTTCAGTTTTTTGTACACAGTTTAGAGGTGTTTTTATGTTTATGGAAACCAAAGAATCAAATCACTCAGACCAAACTGGGGCAAATGACGCCCAGGGCCAGTGGCGCATTTTTGTGTGTGTACCTCATCAATCACGTTCTTCTTAGGTTCTTAACTCACTTTAGAGAGGACGTGCAACCCTCTTTAAAACTGGTTGCAAATCTCTTTCCAGATCAGCTGCCTTTCGGACCAACAGTACCTCTATCTTATTTGACTTAAGCATCGGGGTTTTCTTTTTCGCCCTTATCCAACCCAGAATTGCTTCCAGTCAGATACTCATTCTGGATTTCCTCTGCTTTCTTGGAACTTGTTAATGGGAAAACAAAGGCAGAGCTCTAGAGAAAGCAGCTCGGATCTAGATGTGGAAGTCCCCCAAGATCAAAAACCTTGAGGTCCTCAGCACTACCTCTGAGATCAACACCACTAATCTGGGCAGAGAGACCATTAGAAATGGGATGGATAGTACACTAACAGAATCCCAAACCTGCCTTAAACCTCTGATGCAGTGGTAGCCGATGTGGTGCCCTCCAGTTCTTGTGGACTGAAACTCCAGCATGGCCATTGGTCAGGGATGATGGTAGTTGTAGCCTAGGATGTCTGAAAGGCACTATGTCGCCTACCCCTTCTCTAACACCCAGGACTGACATTTGAAACTGATGCACTGGCTGATGCACTGGGTGGGGCAGATTTAACGTGAACCTTGTGAAATGTTCCTTGGGATGTCTCCATATCTTGCACCCAGTTTTGTTGGGGTTTTGTTTTGTTTTTTGCTTGCTAGTATTGTCTTGCTTGCAAAGCCTTCAGGGTTCAGAAACTGTCATATTTTGAGCCAATCAGCAATCTCATTTTGAGTAAGAACCTTAGCTTGTTGTTGCCTCAGCATTTTTTGTTGGCTCCTCGCCAAGGGTGTTTCCTACCACTGTAATTTTGGTCTGGATGATTACAGTGTTGCTAACACCTTGTGAGAAGCTTTGATGTGAAGGGATAATGGAAAATCCCAGCGGAGCCAAACTGATTGTATGCTAATGTTTTTCTTGGTATTGGCCATCAAATCTGCCTGTAGTTATTTCTGCCCCAACCACAGATCTTTCACCACCACCACTTCTTTGGCTCAAGACTTTCCTCCCTACTTTTTTCTCTCAGTGTCATATCCGAGATGTTTCCGCAGATGTTTCTACACTGGTTCCATTCAGTTTATTGTAATAGCTGTCAACTAAAAAAATGTAGCAGGGGGCCCGGGAATCCTGCAAAATATCCAGCAATCGCTTGTGGAGAAGTCTTGGTGCCAGCACCAAGGAGAACCTTTCACCCTCCAGATGTTTTTGGACTACAGCTCCCATCATCCCTGACAATTGGCCATGCTGTCTTGGCTGATGGGAATTGGAGTTCAACATTTGAAGGAACAAAAGTTCCCTACCATTGGCTTAAGGTGAGGGTCTTGCCCACCTTTGGTCCTCAAACACACATACACACACACACACACACACACACACACACACACATCTGAAGGTGCCAAGGATTAAACCGGAATCTTTATGCATGCAAAGCATGAACTATGAGCTGTCTCTAATAAGCTCTTTAAGAAAGTAGGGTGAGATTGTCTTGTTTTTCATGTTCTCCTTTTGAAAACAGGTTTACCTCTATGATCATGCCATTTGGGGGCGGATGGGGGTGGGGTAATGGAAGCTAAAGACTCCTGATGATTTTATCTCAGTCTTTGCATAACTATCAAGTAATGGGGAGAGCATTGTAGAGCCTGGGCCACACCTCTGCCTCAGGTTGGGATAGCTGTGTCAGTAGAGCGTGAGGCTCTTAATCCCGGAGTCTTGGGTTGGAGTTCCACGTTGGGCAACATATTCCTGCATTGCAGGGGGTTGGACCAGATGGCCCTTGTGGTTCCTTCCAGCTCTACAACTCTATGATTTCTAGGTTGCCTTGGCTAATATCTGCCTCTCTTTCTACCGTACACCTTCTCCACTGGTTAAAGGCAGACGGGTTTGTAGAAAATCCCAGAGACGTGGTAAAGTATGCTACCGTATTAAAACATTGTCTTCTCCTTCAAGTTCACTCTTGAGTCCCGTTCCCCCCAGTTGTGACAGAAGAGTCCTTGCTGCTACAGTTGCAGTACGTCGCACCACCTTGCTTTCCGGTGTGCGAAGCAGCAGGTCAGGAGCTGTTCCAACACAACAACAAATGAAAGCAGAGCAAACTCAGCATCTTCGGAGCTGCGGTTCACATGTTGGCCACCAGTCATTTTATAGTCAGTTATCCTTTCCAGGTGCTTCCTATCTCACATATCCCAGCCTGGGCTAAAATTGGCGATGACAAGGTAAGCACCAGCTCTGGCATCCGCATGCTCACCCTGGATGCATGCTCCACCCTGGTGTCCTGGGCACCTAACAGAATCTCCAAGCCAATGGTAATCATTTGCAAAACGGCACATCAAATTGAACTACTGATTCATCTCCTCTGTGATGCAGCTTGTTCTGTAAATCATGTCTGTGGTGCTAATTCTCTTGAGTTCTGTATAAATCATATTTACCCACAATCATCTTTTCCTCTTAACCTCTTGTCCCATTGAGATTCACTGGCCTCTCTGAAGGCTCATCTTTTCCTTTTGTTTATTAGTAGACTAACAGTCTTCCAGTAGGGAGTTAGATTGCCCCAGAAGTGGGAGAGATTTTCTGCTCTGGGACATATGTACCGAAGGATTTGGCTTCTGTTCTCCTTTTTGTCTTTACTGATTTGGGACATCGTTGTTGTTTCATGGTTGATCAAAGAAATTACTCAGATCACTTTTGCCATTTAGGACCTTGTTTGGTGAACCAGCTTCTTTTGGCTTAAGTTTCTTTTTTTTTTTAGTAGGTCATTTTTCCATTAGAGGTCTCTACAATTAGACAATTCTGTCTCCAAAAGTGGCAAGTTCTGTTCAGTATCGAAGAAAATAATGCACGTTTCCATTTCCTGTTGTTCACATTTCCATGAAGTTAACTGGGAGAGTGTGGGTGGCTATTGTGGTTGTCTTTACCAAGAGCTGTTGAATTTTAGCACTAATTAAAAATCTGATTATACTGCCAGGGATCAGCACATCCTGTGTCATGGAGTTGCAAATCCTGATTCTCCTTTTAATCTTACACCACTTCATTTTAACTGCACCGAGAGTGGCAACACCTTTGCTATTCACTTTCCCCCAAACAATTCATTAATTCCCATGTGTTCTATATCCCTGGAAGCATCTCTATAGTCTTTCCAACCTCCTGCCACTCAGAATCTCAGATCAGACTAAGAGTGCAGGATCAGACTAAGGGTGCATTTCCTCAACACCCTGTTTCCAGAAGCAGGCAGCCAGATGCAGCCAGGAAGTCCACAACCAGGGCACAAATGCACCAGCCTTCCCCTTCTATTTGTCCCCAGCAATTGATATTCAGGTCTGCTGCCTCAGAACATGGAAACTAGCTGCCGTTGGTCTCCATGTATTTGTCTGGTTTTCCACTGGAAGCCAACTGAGCCACTGGTCATTGCCACAACTCTGCACTACAAAGATACAGTGGTGCCCCGCAAGACGAATGCCTCGCAAGACGGAAAACCCGCTAGACGAAAGGGTTTTCCGTTTTGGAGGTGCTTCGCAAAACGAATTTCCTATGTGCTTGCTTCGCAAGACGAAAATGTCTTGCGAGTTCCTGCAGGGTTTTTTTCCTTTTTCCCTTTTTCCCAAGCCGCTAAACCGCTTATCAGCTGATGGCTAAGCCGCTTATCAGCTGATCGTTAAGCCGCTTATCAGCTTATCGTTAAGCCGCTTATCAGCTGATCCTTAAGCCGCTTATCAGCTTATCGTTAAGCCGCTTATCAGCTGATCCACTAAGCCTGCTAAGCCGCTAATACTGTAGCACTAATCCGCTAAACTGCTAATGGGCTTGCTTCGCAAGACGAAAAAACCCGCAAGACGAAGAGACTCGCGGAACGGATTCTTTTCGTCTTGCGAGGCACCACTGTATCTGCAAATGTGACTTGAAGGCTGTCAACATCAACCCTGCTGTGTGGGAGTCCCTTGCGGACAACCAAAGTCCGCAAAAGTCAGGTCACGTATTCATAGCAGTGACCAGAGCAGAAATGCCATGGTGCATCTGCAGCAGCACAACCAGATGCCTTCATCTGCCCCAGCTGCAATAAAACATGCAATCTTCCAATAGTTTTTCTTCACCCGCAAAGGGGCATTCCTCCATTGTCTCCCAAGACAGACAGGTGCCAACAGTTGGCTATATATTGATAAATGGTATGTATCCCTCTAATCCAAACCTTTCAATTTTCCCTTGAAAATTGATGAGGATTTGGTGGACCACTTAAGGATTTTTTACCTGTTGTAGCAATCACATTGCATGTTGCTAGAATCTTTATGGTATTAAATTGTATTTCCAAGGCTTCTGTTATTTATTATATATCATATTGCATTGCAATTTGAATTTCAGACAATTCAAATTGTAGTGCAATAAAACAAAATATAAGAATCCTATCTCCATGAAGATGAAGCTTCTTAATTCTAGCTTCTCGTTTACTCTGCTGCCAACCCTCCCAGCTCCTTTCAAGCTCCTCCTCTTCCCATTGCTGCTAGTCCATTCTGCTCACTTTCTGAGCATACCACTAGGTTCTAAGAACGATTGAGTAGCCACTGCCCCAGCCGTTCTTCACAGATATGCTGTGGACCACCTGAATGAGGCTTGCAGACTGCTAGTGTTCCATGGACCACAATTTGGGAACCTCTGCTCTAATCTTAGGATGAGGAACCTATTGCTCTCCAGATGTTGGTGGGTTCCAACCCTCCATCATCCCCAGCCAGCATGGGATGATGCTAGGGGCGATGGGAGTTGGGAATCCAAAAACATTTGGAGGGCCACAGGTTTTCACACCACTACCATAACAGCCATTTTGTTGAGCATCTTTGGTACCTTATCCCACTCCACTCCACCCCAACCCCCAATTGTGGTATTTGAAGGCTTGTTTATACAGTTTAACAGGCTCAAGTAGTAAATATTTTATTGGCCTGTTTTGCTTCAGGCCACATGTGGGTGTTTGGGTGGGGTGTCCTTGCGTTCAAATGTTCCTACAAGGAAGAAACTCCCTGCATATAGATAAACGAACTGTCAGGGAGAAATGATGCTGAGCCTGTCTTAATGACCTGCTAGCTTTCTATGTTTGTGGAGCTTTCATTGAAGGAGAAACTGTAGTCTTCCTACCTGTAACCTGAAAAGATTCAGACCAAGATCAGCTTTCCTATTTGATTCTACAGGGATTCATCTTGTTAACATCTCCTCATTCTTCTGTTTTATCTTGTAAGAAGAAGAAGAGTTTGGATTTGATATCCCGCCTTTCACTCCCTTTAAGGAGTCTCAAAGCAGCTAACATTCTCCTTTCCCTTCCTCCCCCACAACAAACACTCTGTAACTTCACCTATCCCAAACATCCTGTGACTTAAATACCTTCCACTCAGCAAACGAACACTTGGGCAATGTGGCTTAAGCAACTCAGCCTACCTGGAACACTGTGGAACTGGCGGCAACTTTGCTAGTGAAAGGATACAGTTTTCACACACACCCCTTGCTGTTCCTATCCCATTCAACTTCAGAGTGGCTTTGTTAAAAGAGAGAGAGAGAATAGGGAATGGTGCCATTTCCTCTTCAGCAGCCGAAAATTCCAAGAAGCTGGATGGCTTCTATATAGTGTGAAGCTCTCCTCCTTATTTATTGACTTCCTCTTCAGTCAAAAACAAAAGCAAAAACCCTTGGCTTTTGTACAACATCCCCACTCTGGAATGTGTTTCGTGGAGAGTAAGTTGGCCAAAGTTGGAGTCCAAGATTGAAATCTGATGCTGCAGTCAAGAGTGTAAAATGTTCCTGCCAAGGCAAAGATCTTCCTGAAAAGAACATGCCGGTCTCCACCCAATGAATTCTTTTCAGTTTATAGAAAATCAAAGAAGCAAGCGTTTTGTTTTCTTATTGGCCCAGAAACCTGTCAGTCAAGTGAGCTGAACAGGATATCTGGTGAAAAGGAACATCTCAAAATGCTGCATGAAGAAAATCAGCAAAGTGACCTTTTCTCACACTTCCTTCACTCTGGTACATTATCTGTAAACACTTGCCTGGTAAGCTCATTCAGAAACCATTCTTACTCCCCAAAGCTGAACATTCTTGTGGCAAAAGCAATACCTATTTCAGAGGATTCCGCCCCTGAATGTTTGAGAAAAATACTTGAGGGCAAAAAGCATCAATGGAAGATGTACTTCCTCAGTTTCCTGTACAACCTTTTGTCTTCTACAGGTTTTTCCTCAGCACTTTCATGGCTTCACATAGCAACTGGAAACAGCAATGCAGTAATAAGGGATCTTGGGATTCCCTTCTGGATGTAATGTCACTTGGAAAAACCACAAAGGGAAGACTGCAGCTTTTGTGCAGAGAACAGCGCTTTCGATTTTGTAGGAAAATACTGCCCAGAAAATCCATACCAACCAGATCCACTTCAGTAGTGGGGAGGGCGGCAGTGGTGCTCACCTGACCTCTGGTTCCTGTGCTGCTGCCATATGCCAGGATGGAGAAAGGGCAGGGCAAGGTTGGCACATTGCAAATGCACCAGCAGCTCCTCTCTCTCTGCAACCATTTGTTCAGACTTGTGAATGTGATTCTGTTAATCAATTCAGGTGCAAGTTCCAACCAGACTCTCAGTTTCATCTTTGTATGTCGCTATTGCGTGACAGGAGTCATTCTGCTCCCATGCTAACACCCTTGGCATCACACAGCTGTGTGCTTTGGTGCCAGCCCCAAGTTCCCAGAAAACTTGATTGTTCCGGGAAACCCCATTGACATGCAGATAATAGTTAGCTTTTTTCCTGGGATTCCAGGCAGCTTGCTTCTCTGTGTGTGAAGATGAGAAACTGTTAAATATAAACCACTGGGTGCAGATCATGTGGGCACGCAGGCAACTTCCTTCCTCTCCAAGTGGGATGGAGCCACTATGCCAGGTTCCCAGTAGGTGGGTCACAGTGGCTTAACAGTGTGGGGAGGCAGAAGGGAGACTGGTGCGGTGCAAACACATTTGCGGGATTGTCTCCGCCGGAAAGTCTGCACTATTCTAACCTCCCTCCTACATTGCCCCTCTCCTTCCTGGTGTGGACGAAAGTATTTGAGAATTGTTTTAGGGTTGCAAAGATCTAGAATTATAGAGTTGGAAGGACCAAAGAGTCATCCAGTCTATCCTTCTGCAATGCAGGATCTGCTAAAGATCAATTTATTGAAAGGCTGTATTGCTTGCGAGGAACAGGTAGAAACCCAGCAGAGAGTCTCCTTCTTTAGGTAAATTTCCCCAAGGGAAGCAGGCTTTTTGCACCCATTTTCATAGTCAGGGCTTTTTCTCAGCCGGAACTCATGCCTCCATCCCAAAACCCAGCACCTCACTTACCCAAGGGCCACATGCAGCAGATCACTGGTAGAGCATGAGACTCTTAATCTCGGTCGGGGTTTGAGCCCCTCATTGGGTGAAAGATTCCTGCATTGCAGGGGGGGGGGAGGACTAGATAACTCTGGTAGTCCCTGTGATTCTGTGAATGTAGCCAAGCTGTTTCAAAGAAGGTTTTACTTCATTGTGCCAGCTTCAGCTAACCTTGCAGTTTTGTTCTTCCAGCTACACCCCAAGAATTTGTTTTTGATAACAAGTTCTGAGAACACCACTTTTCCTTTGTCATGTAAGCATCCAATCCCCGTTCGCTTCCATCATCACCCCTTGCCAGCAATCTCAAGCAGAAGGTTTTCAGGCCTGGGGTCTTTTAGTCCCACACCGATAAGCAAAATGACCTTTTCCCCCCACCCCGCCCCCCGCTAGGAAGCTGGCCAAGCAGCTCCATCCCACCTTGCAAGCTGAGTCTGGGTCTGGCCCCATCTGAAGGGCTGAGCAGGCAGAGCCATTTCAACTGCCCAGACGATCTGCGATGACAGCACTCGATAAAATGCACCCCAACCCGAGAAGTCTGTTTTTTGGCTAAGGAAGCATTCATAATGTGAAACAAAGTCCAATAACAAGGAGCTCTTTAGCTCAACTCTAAGCTTTTGTCTTAGGGTTAACAAAGAAATTCCGTAACAGCACCAAAATGCTTATTATATCGGCCTTTGTTTCGTTGCCAGGAGTAGATTTATAATTGGACTCGCTGGGGAAGCAATGGGATGTGATGACTTGTGTGGAGCTGCCTGAGCTTTTGACATTCTCCCAAAGTCACATACCCCTGGAGTAGTTAGTGGATTTCAATAACACAGCCCACAGAATTTATAGGAAGCGACAGAGTACACGATTAATTGTGAATTATTGTAGTCTCCACCTGGTTAAAACTGAGCAGTAACTTAAGAGACCAGTTTGATATTGAGTGCTGTTGGCTTTTCGGGATCCTGGAAAATGAGAGACATGGAGATCATAGAATGGTAGCATTGTAAGGGACCCTGAGGGTCATCTAGCCCAACCCTCCTGCTATTCAGGAATCTCAACTAAAGTATCCATGGCAGGTGACCATCCAACCTCTGTTTAAAAATTCCAAAGGAAGGAGATTCCAGCACGTTCTGAGGGAATCTGTTCCAATGTCAAACAGCTCTTACTCCCCCGATCCACTAAGCTTGTAACTCTAGCAAAAAAAGGGGGGGGATGATATTTGTCTGGCATGACTTGTTTCTGAGAAACCCATGCTGGTTTAGTAATCACAGCATCCTTTCCTAAGTGCTCGCAAACCAAAAGCTTTAATTACCTGTTCAAGGACCTTCCCTGGTATTGATGTCAAGCTCACTGGTTGGTAGTTACCTGGGTCTTCTCCTCCCCCTTTTTTAAAAATGGGGGCAATATTTGCCCACCTCCAGTCTGCAGGGACCTCACCTGTTATCCAAGAATTTTCAAAGCTTATAGACAAAGGCTCTGAGATTACCTCCGCAAGCTCCTTTAGTACTCTTGGGTGCAGCTCATCAGGCCCTGGAGATCTGAATTCATTTAAAGTAGCTAACTGCCTCTTTTCCTAACCTGGGCTGCAGATCCCTCCTTGCATCTTTATTGTGTTATCACCAGGCTGGGCACTGTGAGGCAGAGGAGATAAGTAACTTTTTCTTATTAGGCTTTGCAGGCTTGCAGAGGCAGGAATTGAAACAATCATTTTTTCCAGTGGTACAAAAGGGAGCAGATCAAACAGATTTCTCCTGTGACTGGTGGAGGTGGGAAAGCTTTCGTTCTTTCAGGATGTCCTCACAATCAAACACGTGGCTATAATTCTTTGCACACTTCCTCAGGAGCAAGCCCCATTGGAGATGGTGGAACTTGTTTCTGAGTAAAGAATCACAATGGGTCTGTGTGTTGTATACAGATCAATGCAGACTGGATTGTACTGATGGACTCAGAAGTTTTAGTACCATTCTATAATTCTCCCATGATGCATCTGGGTTATTTGAAACTCCCCTCCCATGTGACTATCCATCGTACGCTACTGTCAATTAAAAAGGAAGATTGTCTTATCACTGCATGAATTTATTGTTAATAGGCCAACTGAAGGCCATTACCCAGGCCTATTCACAATAATTTTATTTTATTTTTACATGTTGGGATTAACACGAGTTGACTTTTTCAGTGGATTTAGGTACCTGGAATTATTATCCTTGTAACTATTCAGCCGGGCTTCAAAATGTAGCTCAACACATCCTAGCTTGAGGCAGCTGTTTTTATAGAACGTCTCGAGTCGTGATCTGGTGACATTTTACATAATTTCAGAGCAGATTCCAGTGCCCACTAAAAAAAAGAGAGAGAGAGCAACGAAATAGTCTTGAACGTTCAAAACAGGCAGAAAGATCTTTCCTTGTGCTTTTCCTCTTCTGATTGCACTACACAAAAGCAACACCCTTCTTTATGTGTTCATGGGTGAATGTCCCATTAATATTTCAACGAACTTCCAGATAATACACTGGAGTGGGGTGGGGTGAGGAAGTATTTCCTCATAAACGCAGCCTCAAGATCTTTAGATCCATAGAAAGCTACCTTCTGCTGAGTCAGATCAAGGAACCATCTAGTTAAGGATTGCCTTCATTGACTGCCAACAGCTGCCCACTGCTTCAGACAGGACATTCCTACCTGGAGATGCTTGAGACTGAATTTGGTACCTCTTGCATGCAGAGGAGACGCTCTACCACTGAGCCACGGCACTTCTTGGCTCAGTCACAAGCAAATCCAGCATGTGCACAGCCAGAACTGGACAGTAAGCCCAGTTCCTATTCTCTTTCTGTGCTCAGCATGTCTGTTCTTTTTTAATTTGTGGAGGCTTTCCTCCCTGTGCGCTCCTGTGGTAATCATCGCAGACCCCCAGAAAACATTGTTGCCTTTTGACTGCGAATGCAAAGTGTCCTTAGCTCAGGAAGTGCCAGTGGGCGATTTGAACAAAATGATACCTCATCAATTGTCTGTGCGGGGCTTTTCCTTTCCTTCTATCTGATGGTGTGCCAAGTTTATCCTACAGTATTTACACTGTGATTTGTTTGTTTGGATACTCTTGTGAGCATTGCTCTGGAAAAGACAAAAGAGAGAACCCCAGGAAGTTTATGTTTTGCGGTCAAGCTGGTAGAGTTTATGCTTTAATTTTCCCTCCTAGCTTTACTCTGTCTTCATGGAAACTTAATAGATAAAGGGGAATGGGGGACAGTGACGGACAATTGCCGTCAGACTAGCTACTAACATAGGAGTCTTTTACTAATTGTAGACCTGGGACAGATCTGAAAGGCCAGTGAATGAATGCCTGCACTTGTTTTGCAATTTTTATCCCAAAATGTTCTAAGGCCGTTGTGCGCTTACCTGTGAGCTCACAAGGGCTTACTTTTGAGTGGAGATGCATGGGATTGCACTGATGTTGGGTGGAAAAGACTGAAATGGACTGATATTTTTTTTTAAGAATATTTTTTTATTAACCGACCAATCACATCAAATCAAACCAAATTACATAAATTCCAAATTACACAGCCGAATTTTAAATTTTTGTTGGGGGTACCCATATTTCAAATTCCGAAGGGGATCCAATCAACTTCTTGCTTCTTACTGCTGTTTTAATGTCCACAAATCTAACCTTATGATGTTCACAGTACTATCCAGTCCTTTCTTATTGTTTTTCCACATCTCTTGTTGTTATTTTCATATATTTTTCCTTTCTCTTTGTGACCTCTGATAGTCTCCGCAAGCTGGTTAGAACAGTTTGTAATCCTGCGTGGATATTATTTTTTTTATGCAGTAGCCATATCCAGACGTTTTCCATATAACATCACTTCCATACATCAAAACAGTCTTAGCGTCATTAATCTTCACCAATCTGCCTCCTTTCTCAAAACCTCTGAGGAGATTCACTAGGAATGCAGTCTAAAAACAAGTCCGTTCTTCCTCCCGGCTATAAATCCTTTGGCAAGATGGCGACTCCGAATTAATTGCTGCGCCATTCCCAAAAGCTCTTATTGCTTCTCGATCTCCATAAAGCATACTTTTGGTTAAAGTTTAACATACACAGACCTTAATCATCCTGCTTGGGTCAGTTCAACTGACGATTCTAATGAGGAGGTGAAATGGACTGAAATTGGTGGATGGAACTTCCTTCACGTTTAAAGTGCAATGGTAGAGTCGCACAGCTATTTCACACAGCAGTGGGTGTTCATTGAGAGATACTCAGACTTAAACACTGATGAATTTTCAAATGCCGATGAAAATGTGGAGAACTGAACATAAGAATGGAAAAATGAGAAACTGAGGGAAACCGAAAGTTGCCCAGCCCTGGGAAGTACTGGTGAGACAAGGACGATGTACTAGTAGCGCTAGTACACTCACTGCCCCTCCTGCATCCTACTTGTTCATGAGTATTTATGACGGAACAAAGTTCCAGTTTTACATGAATCAGTTTTTACTGACCTGTTGTTTTCTTCTCTTCCTCCTCCTCCTCCTCCTCCTCTATTTTCTACCTAATTATTCTTTGTTCTCAAGCACCTTCGGTTCAAATGTGCCTGGCCTCTGTTTTAGTGCAATGTAACCTGGGATGATGTAAGTTAATCTGTACATTGAGTTTCTAAGCGTGAGGATTCCGGTGCAGGGTGCAGATTTGGTGAGAGTGTTTTCAGATCAGTTTCAGCCTCTGATTTGCTGCCTCTTTCTTCAATCAAAAGTAGCCTGTTTCCATTCCTTCTGAACAACACCCCATGTCCTTTGGTTTAACTCTATGTTCTGCTGCTGTCAGCAATGGATGTGTATGTGTTGGCATCTGTGAACGTTGACTAATACTCTTCCTCCCCTCCCCACTTAGCATGTGAAAGATGAAAGGAGTGATGAAGAAGAAGAAGATTCTTTCAGTGATGTCGAAGAGGAGTGCACCAAAAACGGAAGCAAGAATGGATTGAGCTACCCTCTCCTAAACAACAACAATCATTAGCGTGTTGCCAGCGCCTTCTCCTCAGGGTGCTGTTTGCTGCGCCTGAAACCCATCCTACAGTAGAGAGCTTAGCGTCAACATCTTAACTGGAGTCCATGATTGATTTTATTGCCGGCCAGTTGAGCTGGAAGAGAGCCCAGTTTCTTAAAAGAGCAAGAATAATTTGCTTAACTCGACAAAATGTGTTTAATGGGCCACTTTCTAACACAGTGCATACGGGTGCATGGCAATCCTGACCTTTTCAACTCTTGAGAATTCTCAAGGATCACCAAACAGTCTTTGGAGTGTCATCATTTCGAACTGAGCTGCTCACACATTTAGAATTTGATAAGCGCTTTAAACAGTTTTGCCGAGTCTCTAATAATGTTTTAACATGGTTTCATAAGTGCGGGGTTTTATGTGAAGTTGTTGCCACCAGAATTTTTTCAATAAGGCATTAGGGCATCTTTGTTGAGTTTCAAGCCTTTCTTGGTTGCTTACCTGAGATTTGCTTCTAATTCTCTCTTGGGAGGGTTGACCTTAGGAAGGGGCAGCGTGGACCAAACTCTACCAAGGTTCTTTGTGACATTTTTCTCCAGAATGACGATTGACCATTAAGCCACTCGGGGAATTGTTGTTAAGTTGGTTTGTTACTTGATGGTAGAAGCACAAGACGTTGTGGGAGGGCCCAGCAGCCACCCTGGTATGTGGGGAGCCTGAGAACATAGACTTTAGACTGAGTCATATCTATCTTGCTCAGCATTTTCTACACAAGCAGTTCTCCAGGGTTTCAGATAGGATTCTTTCCCCAGTTTTACCTAGAGATGCCGGGCATTGGACCTGGGGCCTTTTTCATGTAAGGCAGATGCCGTACCTGGGAGCTACAGCCCTTTGCTGCCCTAGAAGATGGTCCAAATGGCATCTCTGGTGGCTTACCACACGGTGGCTGCATGGAGAGCTGGGAGCTCCTGGTCCTAGCCCAGGTGGTTGCTGACAGCTCGGCACAACCTTCCTACCCCTTGAGTTAGAGATGTCTTGCAGGGCCTCCAGCAGCCTTGTGCAAATTGTGGGTGGCAGTGATCCCATGCATAGATCATTCTGGAGTTGAAGGGCATGGAAGGCCTTGGTTGGGCTATATTGCTTCTTTCTCGACTCAGTTGTGCCAAGTGGGAATTGCATTTTTTTTAGGAAAGCAGCTCATTTGACGATGCCTTGAAGCCCTACAAAGAATTCCTCTTCCTTTATGTTTTTGTTACACTGCTTTGCAGTGAGGTGTCCATTGAAGCCTGCTGCTTTCTCTCTCTAAAAACAATCTATCCTCCAAGAAACCAAGTAACACATCTGGAGTCCATGACTGCCTCTGTTTCAGGTTGGCCTAATAATAATAATAATAATAATAATAATAAATTATTTATACTCCGCCCAGCCACTCTGGGCAGCTCCCAACCAAATATTAAAAATATGATAAAAGATCAAACATTAAAAACTTCCCTAAACAGGGCTGCCTTCAGATGTCTTCTAAAAATCAGATAGTTGTTTATTTCCTTGAAATCTGTCTCCGATTCCCAATGGGCACCAGCAACCACTAGGCCAAACAACTGCCCAGTGAACGAGACACTGCTTAGTGATACTTCACTGACTCCCACTTTAGAATTGGCCTCTTTCTTCTCAATTTTGCATCATCTCTGCTCCAAAGTGTTTTGTTTTTTTTTTAAAAAAAAACCCTGAGGAAACCGCAAATAATTATCCTGAGGTTACACAATTCATCCCCCAAGAGATTCCACAGGTGGCGTCTCCCCAAGCCCCAACTCATTTGGCTGCTTATCTGGTAGGGAGAAAGGACAGCAGCAATCTCTGGATCAGCCTTCTCCAATTTGATGCCCCGAAAAGTTTTTGGACTGGAACTACTATCAGCCCCAGATTTGGGAAGGCTGATCTAGAGGAACAATATTGGCTCTGTATTCATGACTTTATTCCCCCCCCCCCCATTTGAACCGCACAAGTGTTGTAAAATCTCCCCTCTTTGGTCTGGGAGGGGGTGGGATGTGTGTGTATTCTGTATGTATAAATTGCAACGTCACCTACCTGTTAACGTGTGTACGTATTTATTTATATATTTACCTCTGCCTTTATATGCCCAGCGAGTTGCTTTTTTTGCTAAGTTTAGACAAAGATTCAAGAGAGCTAGGACTAGCTTTATTGTTGGACCAATCCTAGGTGGAAACCTAGGACCGCGCTTGATGCGAGGAGCTATCCCTTCTTGGCAGTGACTTGGCGTGTTCAGTTCGGCCACTGATTGTCAGCTGGGAATGAAAGAGGGGCAGAAAGGAAAAGGGTCAGGAAACGGCCCTGAGCTCCTGTCTCAGCAGAAGCAGCAGCAGCAGATGGATCGATGAGGAGCCTTGTGGAATTGACCAGCATCTGAGACGGGTGAACAACAAGTAGCCTGTAGGACCAGTGACTGGTTGGGGAAGGGCCGTAGCTCAGTCGCAAAGCGCTCATTCTGCACACAGAAAGCCTCAGGTTCAATCTCCAGCATGTTCAGGGAGGGCTGGTGAAAGTATTTTGCTTGAAACCTTGGAGAGCTACTGCCAGCCATTGAAGACAAAAACTGAGCGAGATAGGCCAGTGAACTGACGCAGCATCAGGCAGCTTCCTATGAAGAGAAGAGGCGAGCCAGGGATGTTAAGGTGGCTGCCTTGTGCTCCTGTATATTAGAAAAATGAGTGGGTGTGAAAAAGGGCCCCACCCAGGCTGGCAAGGCTGCTTGTCCAAATGGGATCAGTGAGGAGAACAGAGGCGCCAAGGAAATCCAGGATCCAGTGCAGATATGGACATGCAGTCTGTGGGTGGGTGGAAGTTATTATTACTTTAAGACTTCAGGATGTTGTACTTGAGGTTCCAGTACAGAAGCTGGTTTTTCAGTAAACCTTTTAAAAAATGTGTTGTCTCATCTTCTTTTGTTACATCAGTTCCGTTGTGAGGACGATAGGATGTGAGGATGGTTCCCCGTAAAATTCCTGAAACGTGATTTTGCAATAAGAACATCAGCAATAAAAAACAATTAAAAACAATTCCATATGTTAAAAAAAAATAAGAAAATAAAGATCCACCTGGTGTATAGTGGGGGTAATTGCAAAGAGAAGGTGCCACCACACTAAAGGCCCAGTTTCTATACCATACATACAGGATACCTCCTGATGAGATTCTATCTGCAGTGTGCCTTCTCCTGCAGAGTGGAATGATTGGGGGGGGCATATAATGGGTGAGATGATATTTTAAATGGTGGCAATTAGAGTTTAAATGTATCAGCAGAAGTTTGAATTGTGCACCGAAATCCCGGCTTGGAGGAGAACCCCAAGACCTTGACTGTGGAAAATAGGAAAGCTAAGTTTATTACTGGAAATACATGTTGGATAGGAAAGAACTTAGTTCCAGCTAATTCAAGTGGAGATTGCCTTACCCCAGACCATCCAAGTGTTCCTATTCAGGGATAGTCCTGGATTTACAGAAGCTGTCCCAGTTCCTGATTGGATCCCAGAATGTCCCACTTTTCCTCAGGATGTCCCTATTTTCATCAGAAATATGTTGGAGGGTATGTTACCTCACATTTGGCTGGTTGACATATCAGCAGAATGGGCACTAATACAAGTGCCACCACTACAGGGCTTTACATACTAATAGTAACCTTTCCTGGTATCAAATCGACAACCAGTGCAGATCTCTGAGCACAGGTGTTATATGCTGACAAGGCCTCATTCCTGTCAGCAGTCATGCTGCAATATTCTACACTAACTGCAGTTTCTGGATCTGTCCTGAACCCCTGGCCTACCTGGCGCACAGTGTGTCAAATCCAAAGTTAAAAGACCAGGAGTCTGTCCACACAAGCAAAGTCAGGAAACACAGTCCAGAGTCAAACCCAAAGCACAGTCCCATAGAGGTTCAGGAGCATCCAAGTCAAAGTGCCTCAACATGGGCAGCTGAGCAGACACAACCCCTCAGCTCTGCTTCACTTGTGTACTTTGCAAGCTGATTGCAACATCTGGGCTTGATGAGGCATGTGACACTCACCTGTTCCAAGCCTACTCCAGCTGAGGAATCACACGCCTCTTCCCAGAGCTAGTGAGCCTCACCTGGCCAGCTAGGGAGCTGGGCTGTGGGCCGTAGCTTTCCTCTGCCTCCTGGAGCCCACTGCTCCCTACTTCTCAGAGCCTGCTGTGTTCTGCTGCTCTGCTTCCTGTGCACTGACACCCATCCCTTCGCTATCCTCCGTCACACTGTGAGTACATCCTTCCCCATCCCCTGCTTCCCCTGGTGTGTCCTAAGGGGTGTAGTCAGGCTCCTCTTCCTCCTCCCTGTTGTCCTGCCAGTTCATGTAGGGCTGCCATATGCCTGTATTTTCCCAGACATAAACAGTGTCCGGCCGAAAATTGCTGAAATGTCCAGGAAAATCCGGGTGTATGGCAACAGAAGTATAGATTTTGGGGCAAAAAATAAATTTAAAAATGCTCAACAATTTTTGTGTCCAGATTGTCACTTTTTGAAATATGGCAACCCTAAGTTCAAGACAATATCAAATCCTACAGTGCAATCCAAATAATGAACCAAGACAGAGAACTTCTTCAATGTATCATGGTTTGTTTATGTGCTAGAGATGAGGGAGGAATTCAGTTCAGATTTTAATGTAAACTTACCTAATCCCCACTTCCTAAATCACAGCTATCTTTTGAAATTCATACTCCTCTAAAATTTGCAATGCTGCTCTCCAGCCAAAAGATGTATACTAAATTTTAAAAAGTATATTGGAGGAATGTGTGGATGATAGCTCATATATGAGTAAAAATACATATATACAAAAATGCATTATCTTTGGTAAAATTGCTTGCAAAGAAATGTGTGTACGCCTACTGAAATGCCAATGAATCTTTGCAAGAATCACAAAGGGAAGCGGAAATGTGAAGATTGGGAAAAGGAGAATCAGAAAGGAAACCAAAATTGTCTGTCCTTAGTGTGTGTATGCACATAGATATTTAATTTAGATTTTCCATCAAGTTATCCAAAAACAAAGTGGAATATGTGAGTTTTGGCGTTATGCATGTCCCAAACTGTGAAGGAGGGAAAGGTAAAGAAATTGTATTTTGCTGATTTTGAAAGAAAAACAGGGTCTCCACAGGGATTGTTGCCTAGTTCCTTCAGCTGCAGATGCTCAGAACAGTTGACAATGAGTGAACAGAAGTATTTAAAGCACATATAGATATATAGGATTATATTAATAGAAGATCCCTAAGGATGCATATTTTGTTGAACACCTACAAAAAAGCCAGAGGTGATGACCACCAGCTGGAACTATAAAAAAAAATGATTTCAGAAGAATTATGGTACTTAAAAACACAGCCATGCACCAAAAGGTATGAAAATCATACATGAAGAGACTCATTTTCCATACCATGTAAACAGTAAACGTGTTCTACAGTCTCTCATATTGGCATGGCTTAGCCTTGCTTAGAACTTGGCCTCAGGGAATAATTAAACTATGGAACTCACACCTGCAGGAGGCAGAGATGGCCATCAGCTTGGGTGGCTTAAAAAAAAAGGATAATAATAATAATAATAATAATAATAATAATAATAATAATTTATTATTTATACCCTGCCCATCTGGCTGGGTTTCTCCAGCCACTTTGGGCGGCTTCCAACAGAATATTAAAATACAATAACCTATTAAACATTAAAAACTTCCCTAAACAGGACTGCCTTCAGATGTCTTCTAAACATATGGTAGTTGTTTTTCTCTTTGACATCTGGTGGGAGGGCGTTCCACAGGGCGGGTGTCACTATCGAGAAGGCCCTCTGCCTGGTTCCCTGTAACTTGGCTTCTTGCAGCGAGGGAACCGCCAGAAGGCCCTCAGCGCTGGACCTCAGTGTCCGGGTGGAATGATGGGGGTGAAGACGCTCCTTCAGGTATATTGGACCAAGGCTGTTTAGGGATTTAAAGGTCAGCACCAACACTTTGAATTGTGCTCAGAAATATACTGGGAGCCAGTGTAGGTCTTTCGAGACCTGTGTTATATGGTCTCAGCGGCCGCTCCCAGTCACCAGCCTAGCTGCTGCTTTCTGGATTAGTTGTAGTTTCTGGGTCACCTTCAAAGGTAGTCCCACATAGAGCGCATTGCAGTAGTCCAAGCGAGAGATAACTAGAGCATGCACCACTCTGGCGAGACAGTCAGCGGGCAGGTAGGGTCTCAGCCTGCGTACCAGATGGAGCTGATAAACAGCTGCCCTGGACACAGAATTGACCTGCGCCTCCATGGACAGCTGCGAGTCCAAAATGACTCCCAGGCTGCACACCTGGTCCTTCAGGGGCACGGTTACCCCATTCAGGACCAGGGAGTCCTCCACACCTGCCCGCCTCCTGTCCCCCCAAAACAGAACTTCTGTCTTGTCAGGATTCAACCTCAATCTGTTAGCCGCCATCCATCCTCAACATATTCATGGAGGATTCAACATATTCATGGAGGAGAGGACTATCAAAGGCTACTAGCCACGATGCCTGTGCTCTGCCTCCATGGTTGAAGGCAGTTATGCTTCTGAACACCAGTTGCTGGAAGCTATAAAAGGTGAGAGTGCTCTTGTGCTTGAAGCTCTGCTTGAAGGTTTCCCACAGGCACCTGTTCTGGTGAGAACAGGATGCTGGACTAGATAGGGCATTGGCCTGATCCAGTAGGCTTTTACATTCTTCACTTTGATGCACCTTCACTTGCCTGAGGCTTCTCATCCCCAATGGACTTCCTCAATCTGAAACGTGGCTTCTGTTAGCTATTGGCGACCCAACTATTGGTGTTGGCAGCATGCACAACAGAGCAGTTGCAACAGACCAAAAGCGGTGATGGGAACAGGGTTGGAGGTGGGTCTACAGCTCCTGGGTGGATGGGATTTGGAGTTCAACCACATCTGGAGAACCACAGGAGCCCCATTGCAGGTTTAAAGCCTCCAACTTAAACTGCAGAGATGAGATTTGAGGTGGGGGTGGGAACTGGCAAGAACTCTAGGACCCCCTGCAAGGGAGGAAAGGGGGGAGACCCAACCTTTCTGCTTTCCACCCTGTCTTCTAAGTCAGCCTAGGTATTAAGCAGCAGAGAGGAAGTGAAGACCTTGACGTTAATCCCTTGTCAAAGAGTGGGATTCCCAATCAAAGAGATGGGGAGATCAAAGGCACCTAATCTCCCTCCTCCCTGACCACAGAGGGCTCCAGTAGGGTTCTGAGAGTTTATTTAGCTGACAGCCCCTCCCCCCTTGACAGGATTACTGGAGGCTGTGGGTTTATTAGACGGTGAGGCCAAAGAAAGTGGCCTGAGCTCCAACATATGACTTCTTCTCTCTGCCCACTCTGAACGTGAAGTCATAACAATCTGCTATAGGGGCAACGTGGCTGATGTTCGGTTGCTCCCAACTTCTTCTTTTCCCCCCAAGCGGAGAAGATATATCATCTATTTACTCAGCTGGCAACTTCCCCATTCGCCCTGCTTTTTGCTGGGCTGTCAATTGTTTGTGGGGCTCTGCCTCCCTTTTCCTCATTCTTCATTCATTGCAAGTTCAAAAGGCGTCCCACGGAATAAGAAGGCACCAAATGCAGCGAGCTTTGGCTTTGATGTTCGGGAGGCTCATTTTCATTCCAAGGGCTCGAGCATTTCGGGAGGCCACTGGGTAAGGCTCACCTGACCTTCTGGAAGGTGATGGTAATGATGATTTCAGAAGGAAAGGAGAAGAAAACAACATTCTGGCTTTATACACGTTTTGTCTCAAGCCGGGACCCCCTCAAGTATCAAGAGTCTTTGCGATCAGTCATCCTCCCCTCTGTTTCTGATATCCATGTTCAGACGGCCACATCCAGCAGGCAAAAATGGCACCACCCACCCCAACACATAGCTGGTGGGGCAGGAAGCATCAACAGCCTCAGGGGGAAACCCTGTGTTTTGCAGAGGTACAATTAAAAGGGGCGGACACTCCAAAACTGCCCAATTAAAAACTGTGTGATCAGGCACCACAGACTGCTGACTGCTATTTTGTTGTTGTTTTACCTGTCACATTTATATCTCACTTTTCCCTCAAGGGAAAGGGACACGGGTGGCGCTGTGGGTTAAACCACAGAGCCTAGGGCTTGCCGATCAGAAGGTCGGCGGTTCGAATCCCCGCGACGGGGTGTGAGCTCCCGTTGTTCAGTCCCTGCTCCTGCCAACCTAGCAGTTTGAAAGCACATCAAAGTGCAAGTAGATAAATAGGTACCGCTCCGGCGGGAAGGTAAACGGCGTTTCCGTGTGCTGCTCTGGTTTGCCAGAAGCAGCTTAGTCATGCTGGCCACATGACCTGGAAGCTGTACGCAGGCTCCCTCGGCCAATAAAGCGAGATGAGTGCCACAACCCCAGAGTCGGCCACGACTGGACTTAATGGTCAGGGGTCCCTTTACCTTTACCTTTCCTTCAAGGAGCTCAGGTGGCACACATGGTTCTCTCCCTCCCCGTTTTATTCCTCACAACAGCCCTGTGAAGGAGGTTAGGCGAAGAGCCAGTAACTGGCCCAAGGTCATCCAATGAGCTTCATGGCCGATTGGGAATTTGAACCCTGGTCTCCCAGGTCCTAGTCCAACACTCTAATCACTACACCACACTGGCTCTCTTTAGCATCACCCAGCGGAACAGCCACAATGCAAGAAACCAGCCAAATAATGGGCTGTTGATTTCACATGAATATTTGAAAAATATTTTTCCCCTGTTCCACTCTCATCCTCTGCATTTGGTTCATACTGCCTTCTCCTTCACCAACGAATTCCTCAATCCGTTGCCTACTCTGAACCATTCCTGAAGCAACTTTGCCTCATGGATCTCTTGACTCCCAGCACCCTTCTTTTCCAGGATCACTGTCCTTTGCCTGAGCCACAAAGCTGCTCTTGCCTCTGCAAATTTTTAATCTCAGCCAGACCAACAATAGTCTCTTCCCTAATGAATGTTAGAATGATGTTGGATAGAAATTAAATGGTTTTTAGCAGAAATATTATAAGGGAATATGAAAAATGGATTACTAACAGGTAAAAATTTAATGTTACAATACTTTAAGATTAGAGATTAGGATAAACGAAGAGGGGAAGGATTTGCTGAACCAACAAACTGAACTGGAATACAAAAAAGGGAGGCGTGAGGAGGTCCGGGAAACAAGCTAATGAAAAATAAGTAATTGAAAGATTGATTTGTTTTTAACTAATTTTATTTTGTATTTTTCTTTTTTCTATTTTTCTTTTGTAATATTTTGAAAATCTTAATAAATATCTTATAAAAAAAAAACAAAAACCAATAGTCTCTTCCCTCATAGTTACTGGACTGTGGGGATTGTCAGCTTTGTTTCTTGAACACTTAGAATGTTTGTGAACACCTTATCATCACAGAAGCTCAGCCAATCAGTGTAAAGGTTTCACGACCAACAGCATAGTGCACTATACTTTTCACTTTCAGTATCTGGCTATATGAGAATTTTAACTGCAATCGGATTATCCTTTATCAGTATTTATTTACTGGTCCTAAAATGTCTATCCTACTTGCCCCTGCCAATGGAGATGCTTAAGGCGGTTAACTCTATATAGCAAACAAACAACTTCAAAAGTAAAAAGAAGAAGGCACAATCCCCATTCCTGAAACAATCATATTATTATTATTAAAATGTATACATTGCTCTTCATCATAGGATCAAAGGGCAGTTTACAGCTTAAAAACACAGAAACACCTAACACATTAACAAACAAAAACAATAATCCTCAACACCACCACAGTTTAAAAGGCATAGATTGTTTAATCAGCCAAATGCCTGACTGAAGAACAATGGCACCTAAAGATATGTAATGAAGGCGCCTAGCGAGCCTCCCTGGGGAGAGCATTCCACAAACCGGGAGCCACCACAGAAAAAGCCCGGTCAGGTTGCTGCCCTCCAGACTTCTTGTGCAGGGGGCACACGAAGAAGGGCATCCTCTGAAGAAGGGCCTCAGATGATGAAGGCAGGGTCCAGGTCAGTTCATACGGGGTCCTTAGCTGTTTAAGGCTTTATAGCTCAAATCCAGCACTTTGAACTGGGCCTGGAAACTAACTGACAGCCAGTGCAGTAGGACCAGGGTTGGTGCCATTTGCTAATATCCCATTCTCCTCCTATTGCTGTTGGTCAGCAGACCAACAGCAATAGGAGGAGGAAGGATGGGATATTAGCAAATGGAACCACTTATGCTTTATTCAGGTCAAGGGGACTTACTCCCACACAAGTGTGTTTAGGATTGCAGCCTCAATACCAGTTTTGGTATTGCTAAAAATGATCACTAGGTGGCGGTAGAGTCACACTTCTCTGTATAGGAGAAGGTGAGGACCAATCTTAAGAGACTATGGAGAAGAAATCATCCCCCTCCATTGACTTTGTAAGCAAATGACTGTCAGGATGCATAATGGAATCTGCCAGGTTGCCCCCAAACATTCTGAAACATTCCCCTTTCCTAGGGGCCTGATCCTGGCGAGCCTCCAGGTGTTGCTGGATTGTGACTACTGTAGCCATCATTGGCCATCTGGGAATTGGACTTAAATGACCCCATGAGGTCTCCCTTCCCCTGCAAACTTCACTGCCTTTATATCACCTGGTTATGCACATTTTTTACAGGCAACACATTATGAAAATACTCATTTAATACATGCATTGTCCTCATTGTCCTCAATTTGAACAAATTCCCTTGATTTGCACAATGTATTTTGAGCCCCGTTTTGCATAATTATGATTGCAGGTGACCAGAACTGGTAGTGGAGAAGGAAGAAGAGAGGTACAGCAAAACGTGGAACATTTAATTAGTATTGTCAAGTAAACAGAGGCCACAAAGAAGAGAGATGTAGTTTGGCCAAGCTCAGAGGTCACTGCAAAATCTTGCCAACGCTGACTCTGGGTTTTCAAATCTGTCTACACGTCCATAAGAACCAAACATCTTTTATTTATACAAAATAGAAGTTGTGGTGCACTTCCCATACTCACCCCTCCCCCCAAAAAAAATCATCCAGAAGATGGCCAACTTTGATTATAGGTCTGAGTCTTCGGTTATTATAGACTAGCCTGCCATGACTGCTTTATAGGCTGAAATGAGCAACACACCATTTAGAGTTAATTATAGGTAGAATTCATTGGGCTGTCAGCAGTCCTTCCAATTTTATCAATTGGCGAGCCAGGCTTTCTCTTAAAGGTCTGTCTGTGCCGGCTTTCCACAACCCACGTTTTGAACTACAACTCCCATCATTCCCAGCCAGCACAGGAAATCAGATCAGGAGATTAGGTTGCAGGGTCTTGCGGGCGAAAGCTGGTCCACAGGACAGAGGCTAGCTGCTCCTGCTCTATAACCCCTCTGCAGTGCCACAAATCCAACTCAATGGTGTAACGTTGGAAAATGTCGATCACTTCTCCTACCTAGGCAGTTATCTTTCCACAAGGACCAACAATGATGCCAAAATCCAGCATCGCCTGAGCTCTGCAAGTGCAGCTTTCTGGCGATTGAAGTGCAGAGTGTTTGAGGACCGGGACATTGGCAGGGAAACCAAAATGCTTGTTTACAAAGCTATTGTATTACCAACCTTACTGTATGCTTGTGAAAGATGGACCACTTATAAATGCCATCTCTAACTCCTTGAAAGATTCCATCAATGGTGTCTCTGAAAAAAAATTACACTTGGGAAGACAGGCGAACTAATATCAGTGTGCTGGAAGAAGCAAAGATCTCCAGTGTTGAAGCAATGATTCTTCAACATCAGCTTCGTTGGACTGGTCATGTTGTGCAGATGCCTGATGATCGTCTTCCAAAGCAACTACTCTATTCTGAACTTAAAAATGGAAAGCGTAATGCTCAACGTAATGGTCAACGTAAAGCGTAATGGTCAACAAAAGAGGTTTAAAGACTGTCTCAAGGCAAATCTTAAAAAATGTAGTATAAACACTGACAACTGGGAAACACTGGTCTGTGAGCCAGTTGGAGAACAGCCTTTACCAAAGTCATGGGCTTTGAAGACACTCAAACTCAGGACGCAAGGGAGAAACGTACTAAGAGGAAGGCACGCTTGGCAAATCCACGCCGTGATCAACTCCCGCCCGGAAACCAATGTCCCCACTGTAGAAGAACGTGTGGATCCAGAATTGGCCTCCACAGTCACTTACGGACTCATTGTTAAAACCGTGTTTATGGAAGACAATCTTACTCAGCTACAAGTGATCACCAAAGATACTATATTAGTTGAAAACAGGCTCAAAGCTGAGTACCAGTAATCAACACAACTCCCAATCCAGGAGCTCTGGATGTTGTATTTCTGCGACGATCTAAGGATCTTTGGACAGAATTCACAGCTTAGTGGTTTAACCATCAACCCCTCTTCCCAGGGAACTCTGGGAATTATAACTCACTTAGGGGAATAGGGCATAGGGTTGCCATATTTTGAAGAGCAAAAAAGAGGACACTTCTACTTTTAACTATGGATCGCTATGATGACTCTCATTTTACATACCCCTGAAAAAGAGGATGTGTTCTGGAAAAAGAGGACATATGGCAATCCTAAATAAAGGCCCCATCACAACTCTCAGCACCCTAAACAAACTACTGCTCCTATAATTTTTGGGGAGAAACCATGACTGTTCAAAGTAGCATCATAGCACTTTAAATGTATGGTGTGGGCTTTGCAATTTTGTGGGTACAGAAGAATCAGGCACACGAAGGCTTGATCAGGTGCTGAAGATTCCTGTGTGCTCTCATGAGAACAGGCATCAAGTCATGACTATGTTGTCATGTGTTTGTTCTCTAGGAAGGCCACAAAAATGAACCAGATAGCAGATAAGAGCATTTTAATATATGATGCCTAAGTGTTTTTAGGGTTGATAGCAAGCTCTGTGCTGCCCAGATACGGGCTTTTGCCTGGGATGATCTGCACCATTTTGCTGCCTAGCTAAAATGGGCAGAATATCAATTGGATATGCCAAAGGTTCTGTTCTTCTGTATTACCCACCCACTTTGTTCAAACCATGCTTGGGAAGGACAGCTGTGGACCCCGCTATATACCTGATGATGCAATTAGGCACGCACCCCTTGCACCCCTAGCTCTGCAAGCTTCTTCTGCTTCCCCCAGAAACAGGGATGTGGCTGAAAGGATCCAACTTACTCTGGGCACAGAGGGCATTCACACAACCACTTGATCAAGCATTAGTCCGACGTAGATAGTGTCTCAGACTCACAAGACACTATTGTCCCAAGGGACAGATCTACAGCCTTGTGCATTAAGCACAAGGACAAGCGTGGGTGGCTGGAGAGCATAATAACTTAATTGCAGAAGCAAAAGTTCAATCCCATTCTCATTACAGTTTCCTGTCTTCTCTGCCTTTTGCCTCAAACCTCTTCCTACTTCACTTACTTTTTCTGTGTATTACTGCTCCCTGATCCATCACACACTTCCTTCAACCACAGGAAGGAACAGGGAGGGGAAGCTGCCTCCTACTGAGACAGACAATTGGTCTAAGTTCAGTACTGTCTACACTGACTGGCAGTGGCTTTCCAGGTTTTCCCAGCCCTACCTGGAGATGGTGGGGAAGGAACCTAGGGCCACCTGAATGCAAAGCAGATGCTATATGGACCTTCCCCCGGAACCTTAGAGAGTTTCACACACACAGGCTAAGACCATAAAGTTATTCTGCAGGTTCGTGGCAGAGATGACCTCTGAAACTATCTTGTCCTCGGGCTGCTTACCCTTTAGTTTCCCCACCTCCTGAGTTTCCTTCCAAAGCTTCCAGTCCTTAATACTGTCCCTTTCAGTCCATGGGAAGTTTCAGCCCCAGTCAAACTGCCAATGTTCCCTGCCTTCAGCGAAACTGGACAGCAGCTAATCTGTTTCAGAAGCTTCACTGTCACAAGTACAATGCTACATAGATATCCCCTTGAGAGGAAGCCAGAGATGCTATCTGGAAGAGGGGAAGGGATGTAGGGAGGAAAGTTACTTTGATGAGCAGCCAACTTAACCCTTGCTTTCCAGGCCAAGAGCCAAAGGGATTCTTATTGCAAAGATGTCTATAACATATGCCTGATGTCTCTGAAGGCTTACTAACTTTGCAATAATGGTTGCAAAACTTGGCTTCTCTGCTGGGTATTTAAAATGACAAAGACGAGGGGGGAAGAGAGAGAGAGAGAGAGAATGAGAGAGAGAATGAGAATAAAATATAGAACAAGCAGCAGTGGAAGGATTTGTTTCCTATAAGATAACTTGAGGTAATCAAGTAGCTCCCAGAGGAGAGTGCAAGTCTGGGAGTAAAGGAAGGCCTGGGCACTAAAGCAAGGTAAATGGTTTGGGTCATGTCTGGAAATCCATAGTGGAGGAAGAAGAAGTAGACCGTACTATTAGTACAAGAGAGGATACCCTCCAACACTTTGAAGACAAAATCTGAGGTGCCATCTTCCCCAGATGCCCTCTTCCCATTTTTTATCCCAAAACCTGGTGGTTGTGATTGCCTTGCCCCAGATCAGATCCAGGAGCAGAGCTGGTGTCAGTGTCCCAGTCTGGAGGAGAAGGCAGCTGTTGCCCTCCAGGGCTGCATTTAGAACCCTCACGGGAGAGAACTTTGTGGAGTCGTCTTCTAAACTAGCTGGAGGGTAACAGGTGAGAGAAGGCTTGGCTGCAATTCCTGGCAGCGGTTCTCTGGGGATTTGAGACAGGAGTGTTTCCAAACAGTGCCTGAAGATGCCAGGGATTGAATTCTGGATCTTCTGCATGGAGAGCACATCCTCATAGGATGAGCCAGGCATGATCTAGCAGCCTACACCAGCCTTCCTCAACCTGGTGCCCTCCAGCAGGTCCTCAGGTATCCTGGGTCTGAGCCGTTAAGGGTCCTCCTACCTGTCCATAATTTGAGAATTGAGTCAACCTCTGTGAGCATAGCAGGGTTTCTGAAGAGTTGTTCCCAGAAGCAAGCTGGCAGCCAGAGAATTGGGTGGCTCTTCCTGTCATTGGCTCTGGCGCCACCTACTGCTAGACTCCCTGCCTTCTGTCCTACCAGTTCAAATGGGCACCAGTCACTTCTGAAAGCAGGATGCAAATAAATATTGTACACAGGCAAGCAAACTTTGAGCAGCTTACTCTTGCAGACTCCTCCAAGTCCCCAGCCTCAGAGTGTTTCTTGGTCAAAGAAGTGTTTCCCAAAAGGCTCTGCTTTGACCTCTTTCCAGCTGAAACTTAATCATTCTGGCAAGGTGACTGGAAGCAAAAGGAGGATGGCAGGGCTGCAGGGCTTTTATTAACTGGGCAAAGGAGAGATTTTTCTGCAGGTACAGCTTCTCTCTCGTGTGACAAACCACACACTTGCTGACATTCCTTCTCGTCTACCATTCAAAACGACAACACCCAATCCGCTTGTCCTCTGAGACAGGCTTTTGTATGTAAAATAAATAACTGTAAAAAGGAATCCATCAACTGTACTTCATCTCCCCTCACCCCTTCCTGGTCCTGTACTGTACTTTCAACAGCTAGCTAACATGCGGAGGTGAATATCACGGCATGGCCATAGGGTTTGCCAGCTCAATGCACAGCAGCCAGCCCAATGCACAGAAACACAGAAGGGAAAACCCCTTTTTCCCCAGGCACCTGATCTCCAAGCCAAGTAAAACGTCTCCTGCTGAACTTCTGCAGGTCAGCCTGGTAGGAGAGCCTGGGATGGCAGCGCCTGTGACCCAAGCGCACCTGAACCCACCAGGTTGCAAAACCAACCAACCGGCATCCGCCTCTGTAGCGCCACCTGGCGGAGGCGCTTCCCCTTCGCCCGCAACCCACGTGTACCGCTTCTCCTTTTACAACCTCGCTATTTACCCGAGTGTGTTAATTCGGACGACCAATCAGTGGGCAGGAGGTGTAGCTCTGGGAGGTTAAGCTCCAATCAGCACCTGCGAGTGGAGAAGGGAGGAGATGCTCTCTCCCTCTCTCTCCCCCGCTTCTCCCTCCCCCCTTTCCTCCCTTTCTGTAAACCACGTTGAGTTTGTAGCGCTAATTAATTTTTCCAAAGTCTGGGAGGGCTTCGCTGCAAGTCGGGATTCCGCTGCTGCTGCCGCTGCTGCCGCCATCAACGGCCCTTCTTCGCCTTCCTCCTCCTCCTCTTCTCCCTGCACCGCAGAGCCCAGTTGCGGAGGCCCCTCGGCTGCAATAAAATGTTTGACGGCTCCTTCCTGTCTCTTATATCTCCCCTTCTGTTGCGGCTGCTACTGGTGCTCTGCGGACCGGGCACCCATACAGGTAGGCTGGCTCTGCGGATTTTCTCCCCACTTCAATCTTCTGCCTTCTGTGTCGTCTCCCTGGATTTGACATTTTGGAAGCGGGCGCGGGGAAGGGAAGTTTTTTTTTGGGAGGGGGTGGCGGACTGGACTGCAAATTGCATGCATTTTCAAAACGCACACCAACCCTTCGAGATACAATCATTTTAGGGAAGCCCCATATTTGTTGCATCTCTCCCCCGCCCCCTTAACAAGATGCAAAAGTTTGCAAAGCCAAACGGCATGTTCGTTTCCTTCTCTCTCTTTTCCACCCTCCCTTCCGTTATATGGCTCTGATCCCAGTTTTCCTTATCCAAAAGGATGTATCTGTTTCCAGACTTGTATATTCTTTATTCCTGGCTGGTCTTCTTGCAAACCTCACCCCCCCCTTCTCTCTCTTTCTCCCCTCTCCCCTCTCTCTTCTTTTTTAATAGGTTTGGTGAAATGTGAGTACCCCCTCCACACACTCCCTCCTTCCCTCTCCTTGTGTGTGTGTAATATCTAAAATACTTTTCTTGAACGATGCAAGAAAACTCTGGCGTTGTTCGGTTCTTTATCTCCCTCCCCCACTTTTCCCTTTATGCTGCACAACTAAAAGAAAAGTTGTAGCTACTGTCGGCAAATAAAATTAAAAAGAACCATCACCTTCTCTTCTCTGCCTGCAGCTGGCTCAGAACTTCCAGGGCATTTGATCTGGGAATATATCTCATTTATTTATTAAACTGCTAAATGGGCAGTGCATGTGATGTAGGGAGAGGATATGTGACAAGTTAAATGGAAGGTGATGTGTCAATGGCTACTGACCCTGATGGCCGGAGGCATTATGCTTCTGAATCCCAGTTGCTGGAAACCGCAGGAGGCTAAAGAGCTGTTGTACTCGGGTCCTGCTGCTTGTGCGCCTCCTGTAAGCATCTGGCTTGCCACTGGGATAATGGGATGCTTGGCAAGGCGAGCCACTGCCCTCATCCAGCAGCAGACTCGTCTTCCATCTTTATGATAGGTAGAACTATAGAATCGTAGAGTTGGAAGGGACCCTGAGGATCAACTTCTAATCCAATCCCCTGCAATGCAGGAATATGCAGTTGTCCCATACAGGGATCGAACCTGCAACCTTGGCATTATCTGCACCACGTTGTAACCAAGTGAGCTATCCAAGCTTCCCTAGTAAACGGAGCTTCAAAGGCAGTCTAAATTCTGAGTGTCAAGATGCTGGGGGCAAATAAAGAAGAGAAGGCTGGCAGATCCATGGAGGATAAGTCTACCTGTGACTGCTAGTCATGTGATGAGTGCTCTAGTATGTATGTCTCTTGATGCTGGTGCTGAGAATCACAAGGTTGGTGAGGGGAGAGTTGTTGCATTCTGGTCCTGCTTGCAGACTTTCTATAGGCGCATGGGTGACTACAGTGAGAACAGGATGCCTGTCTAGGTGGGACTTTGGCCTGATCCAACCTGGGCTCTGTTTATGCTCTGAGAGGCTACCAAAAGTCCCACGGGAAAGACCTAGTGCCATTGTTCCATTGGTCCATCTAGCTCACAGGATTGCATCAATACTGGTTGCTGGGATTTGCAAGCAGGGGGAGTGCCGCCGCCCCCAGGTCTCGCTTTTGAGCATCCCACAGGCATCCGGTTGGCCACTGTGAGAACAAGATGTTGGGCTAGGTAAGAGTTTGCCAAACTCGTGGTCTAACTACAGCTGGAGGTCCAACTCCCATCATCCTTAGCTAGCGGGACCAGTGGTCAGGGATGATGGGAATCGTAGTTCAAAAACAGCTGGAGACCCAAGTTTGGGAAACCCTTGGCTAGATAGACCTTTGGCATGGCCCAGCAGGGATCTTGTGTTTCAGCATCATGAGTATGTAACAGAATGCTGGCGAGACAATCCTTAGCCTGACCCAGAAGCACAGCGGAATGTGTATGAACCAAGGGAATTTAGGTAGCTCAGTTGGATAGAGCATGGTGCCAATAACGCCAAGGTTGCAGGTTCGATCCTGCTATGGGACAACTGTGTATGCCTGCATTGCAGGGGCTTGGACTAGATGATCCTCATGGTCCCTTCCCACTCTATGATTCTTTAAATGCTAACAGGAGACCTAAGATTCCCCACCCTAGCCTATGCTAGAGAAGAGTCCATAGGTCAGTGCTAGAGCAGTTGCTGTGCATACATAAGGTCCCGGTTTCCATACTTGGCATCTTCATGTAGGGCTGGGAACTTGTATATTCAGGTGGCGCAATGGGTCAGTGTGTCTGGCTGTTAACCAGAAGGTTGGTGGTTCGAGCCCACCCAAGGCAGAATTCCTGTGTTGCAGGTGCTTTGACTACATGACCCTCGAGTTCCCTTCCAACTCTACAATTTTATCGTTCTATGATTTTATCCCTTTCTTGGAACCCTTCGGAGCTACCTCTGGTCAGTGTAGACAATATCAAGCCATGCCACCTTTCTATGTTCCTTAGAGAGCCTGTGTGGTGCAGCGGTCAGTTGAATTAGGGCCTCAAGACCACAGTTCAAACCCTACTCAGCCCTGGGTGAGCTTGGGCCAGTCATGGTCTCTCAGCCTACCTTCTAGGGTTGTTCTGTGGATTACATGGGGAGAACAAGGTATGCCACCTGGAGCTCCTTGGAGAAAAAGATGGGATATAAATGTAATAAATAAATTAAATGCACTGCACACAGAAGGTCCCAGGTTCAATACTTCTCATCTTCCATTTAAAGAAAAGAGGTTCAGAGAGTTGATGACAAGGGAGAAATATTTGCCCAAGACCCTGGAGAGGCCCAGCCAGTCAGAGCAGAACTGAAATGGATGGGCAGATAGTATGGCAGCTTCCTTTATTCATTCCTATGTGCCTTTGAGCATATGCGGAGTGCTTTCTGTTGCTATTAAGAGTTGCCAGAGTAACCACAGTTGACCTCCTCCTCCTCCTCCCCCACACTGACAAAGCATCATCAAAAGATTGACAAATATAAAAAAGGATCAGTTTTTAAAAGTAGTAAAGGTAGAGGTAAAGGACCCCTGACCGTTAAGTCCAGTCACGAACGACTGGGGTTGTGGTGCTCATCTCGCTTTACTGGCCGAGGGAGCTGGCGTTTGTCCACAGACTGTTTCTCTGGGTCATGTGGCCAGCATGACTAAACTGCTTCTGGTGAAACCAGAGCAGCACATGGAAGCGCCATTTACCCTCTCGCCAGAGCGGTACCTATTTATCTACAGTGGTACCTCGGGTTAAGAACTTAATTCATTCTGGAGGTCTGTTCTTAACCTGAAACTGTTCTTAACCTGAAGCACCAGTTTAGCTAATGGGGCCTACTGAAGCAAAGTTCTTAACCCAAGGTAATATTTTTGGGTTAGCGGAGTCTGTAACCTGAAGCGTCTGTAACCCGAGGTACCACTGTACTTGCACTTTGACGTGCTTTCGAACTGCTAGGTTGGCAGGAGCTGGGACTGAGCAACAGGAGCTCACCCCATCGCAGGGATTCAAACCACCGACCTTCTGATCGGCAAGTCCTAGGCTCTGTGGTTTAGACCACAGCGCCACCCGCGTCCTTTAAAAAGCAGTAATACTGGGCAAATAAGAATAATAATAAATGTCCAGCATTTTCAACTTCTGACCAGAGAGTTCTGCCTTCTCAGTCACAACGTACCAAAGGGGGTTGCATGTTGTTGGAGAGGGGATTCACTCTGTATATGTGCAGAGGTGCCCTCTTCTTACAGACTCCAGTGTAAGACTGCCAGGTTCTAGCATTGCGAATAAGGTTCTGAAAATAGGCTTGGCTCTGGTGAGGTTATGGTTTTAATTAAGACAGGAGTGGGAAACATCTGGCCTGCAGCCTGGCCTCACCATTTGACCCATGCAGATGCTGTATCTCAAGCCACCAACCTGACTTCGTAGATTTCATGGGGTGGCAGCCCCAAGCAGGTATCTCCTTGCATTCTTATGACTAACAGTGAATACAGTGGTACCTCGGGTTATAGACGCTTCAGGTTACAGACTCCGCTAACCCAGAAATAGTACCTCGGGTTAAGAACTTTGCTTCAGGATGAGAACAGAAATCGCAGGGCAGTGGTGCAGCAGTAGAGGGAGGCCCCATTAGCTAAAGTGGTGCTTCAGGTTAAGAACAGTTTCAGGTTAAGAACGGACCTCCAGAACAAATTAAGTTCTTAACCCGAGGTACCACTGTATAACCTTCTACCTGGGAGTTGGGTTCTCTGGCCTGTATTGCTGATGGCTGCTGATGGTCTCCCACCCTCCTTTCTTCTCTCCCTCTGCGTCTCGCTTTGCAGTCAATGCGGACCTGGGTGTGGTGATCATCCCGGAGCAGGTGCCCCTTGACAAGATCCCTTCCCTGCAGGTCAGAGGGATCCACTCTGAGGAGCATAGGAGGCGACGCTCTGTGCCTCTGCAGCCTGAAGAAGAGGCTGAGGTGCTGATCGTCCGGCTTCCCGCCGGGCTGGGCTCCGATCCAGGCTCTGACATCTACTTGAACCTTCGCCGAAATGGGCAGTTTTTGGCACCGGGTTTCTCCGTGGAGGAAATTGGCGTGGGCCGAAGCAGCCGCCGTGTGGACTTGGATCGCCTCTGCTTCTACACAGGGCACGTGCTCAACCGCAGCGCAGACTCCTTCGCTTCCCTCAGTGCCTGCGGCGGGCTGGTACTTGTCTCTGGGCGAATTTGCCCTCGATGGGCACAGTCTGGTGTTGCGGGAGGCCGTTGTTTGGGGAAGAAGAGCCTGTGGAAGAGTGTGTTGGGTGGGGCATGGAGTTAAGGGAGTCGAGGGAAGGGAAGGAATGTGAGAAGGCGGGAGGGTCCCCTGTACGTAGAAAGTGGGGAGCCCGGTCAGGCTAGGGAACAGCGTTGATAAAACCTGTGTTCATTCCCTTACAATTTTCAGTTAGTTACAGGTTACACTGTCAGTTTCGTACTGACAAGTGGAAGAAAATTGTAGCAGTCTGGCGTGCTCCTGATATCAGAATTATAGCCAGCCAGCCATTCCCTTTTCTTAGGGACTCCATTCCGTTTAGCCATCATGTTTTCCATTTCCCCACTCCAACCTTCAGACAGTGTTTTGTGGCTGCTGAGTAGCCCAAACTTCTTTGGGGTGCATGCCCTGGAACAGGAGGTGCTCTTAATGTTTTACCCCTGGGGCCTACTTAAGAGGGCTGACAATTGCTGAGGCCTATCAGTCTCAAAATGTTGGCGGCTGGAGGTAGCGTCTGGCTTAATTAGGTGGCTGTTACTGACATGGTTTTCTATTGATCCCTAATCAGCCTCTGGTCATTGCCAAATTCTTTGCCACCAGTGTTTTTCATGTGGCAAGGAGTTCTGTAGTCTATCTTGCCTGTATTTCAAAACAAATGTTGCTCATCCTGGGGATATTGTAATATGAGTTTGTTGATCTAGAGGCTCAAAGTAAAGCACACTTACATTCACTTCCTTTTGCTGCAGTTACTCTCTCTTACCCTGTTCCTTTCTATTCTCAGTTGTTGTTTTATTATATTTATTTATTTATTTATTTATTTATTTATTTTCAATAACTTTTGCTGTCTCTAATTTCCCTCAACACCTCCTCGGGTCTTTTCCCCTTCCCCCCAAATTTCTCTGACCCTCGGCCATCTTGACTCGCCATATGAGGAGTGCTGACATTAATGCAACCATTAGCCCCACACGGCCAGGGGACTAGATGGGTCACGGCACCATGGCTCACTAGTCGCCTCTGGCCCAGCGTTTGGGAAACTCTATGCTAAACTATTCCTCCGACGCTCCTTCGCGTTGCTGGCAAAGAAGGCAGACCAGCTTCTGCTTAAAGATCTGCCCTTACGGATCGAATTGCAGAGGGAATCGTGGCTTCATTTCTGAGGAATGGCAGGGTGCTCCAGGAGCATACCTTGTAAACCAGTAGGGGGCAGCATTCTAAAATCGCAGGCTTAAAAAAAAAAAGAATCTCCAGTCTGCAGGAGCTCTGGCCCCTTTTGCATCTTGTCACCCTTCTAGCCCTTAGTGATGAACAAGCATTGATAGATAGCTCAGTTGGTTAAAGCGTAGTGCTGACAATGCCAACGTTGCAGGTTCAATCCCCGTATGGGATAGCTGCATGGCAAGGGGGTTGGACTAGATGATCCTTCCAACTCTGATTCTGTTTTGGGACTGGATCCCTCTATGGGACAACTGCGTAGGAGGTTGGACTTCCAGGATCCCTCCCAACTCTATGATTCTATGGAGCTCAGCTTGGCCTCCAGTCTTCCAATCGGTCTAGTCCAGTGGTTCTCAACCTGTGGGTCCCCAGATGTTGTTGGACTACAACTCCCATCATCCCTGAGCTCTGGCCTTGCTAGCTAGGGGTGATGGGAGTTGTAGTTCAACAACATCTGGGGACCCACAGGTTGAGAATGGCTGGTCTAGTCGCATTGTGGGTCTGGCCTGTTAACTTTCTGCGATGTTTCTGTGGCTCTGTAGGAATGCCGATGAGGCTGGAATTCTTCACAGCCTGTCCTCGCCACCCCACCCCTTCCCTCCCACTTCCCCACCTAATGCAGGCGTTGCCCCTCAGGGCAGGAGTGGGCGGAGCAGGGGGATGCTTAGTTTGGGCAGCTGTGCTGTAGACAATCCTTAAGGAAGGAGGGGCAAGCCCTGTGCCTCAGGTGAGCACCTGCATCCAGATAATGGGATACCAGCGTCTTTTGTGATTGATGTTGGAAGCTGGAGCTGAGCACCACCAAAGGTTTCTTGGAGCTTGAAACTGAGAATGCTGCTCCCCCCCCCCTCGTGAAATGCTGACAGAGTTCTCCACCCACCTGTCCCTTGCTGCAAAGCACACTTTGTTAATCTCATTCATAAATTACCAAGCTCTTAAGGCTCTGAAGCCATCTGAAAAGTGTACAAATGGAACAGGGAGAAAAAAGCCATGTAAAAGTATAAACTAAATGGGAATTCATTTGTAGAGGCAACTTTCATTGCTTGAGAAGTGATGGTGGGAATATGTCCCGACCTCACTTACTTGGGAGTAAGCTCCTTGAATCCAGTGGGACTTGCTTCTGAGTAGACATGATCCACATCCGCACCAGGCATTTAAAATGCTATGATACTACTTTAAACAGTCATGTCCCCCCCCCCCCACGAATTCTGGGCACTGTAGTTTAAGGGTGCTGAGAGTTGTTAGGAAACCCGTTTGCCCCCTAGTGCTACAATTCCCAGAGTGGTTTAACAATCAGTCCTGCTTCTCAGGGAACCCTGGGAATTGTAGCTTTGCGAGGGGACCAACATTCAGCACCCTTAACAAATTACAGCTCCCATGTTTCCTTGGGGGAAGCGATGACTGCTTAAAGCGTTAACAGACCTCTTTAAACGTATCCTGCGAATGGGACTGTGGTTAGGTTGACAGACTCTGAATTGTGGAGGAAATTTAGGAAGCTCCTGAAATCTACAATCCGGACGCCCTAACACCCTTGCCCCTGTTTTACCTTGTAATTAAAATTGGCAAACTAAGGATGTTGCCACACAAAGTTAAGAGATGCAGGTCCCTTTTGTATCCCCTATAACATGAGCAGCACAACAAGGGTATACAGCTGAAATTGGAAGAATCTCTATACCAATTTGAGTTAGGACCGAACCACCACCACCGACAACCTTCTCCCCTTACAAGGAGATCGATAACTTTTTTGCCTAGGAGTTGAGATTCTTCTGGATCCTGACATTTCTCCAGATAATCAATCAAATCTTAAAACAGGTATACTGTTCCACTTGTTTGGGAAGCTTCCACAGCCAGTTCCCCAGACTCTAAGGTAGTGGGGACCCTCGCGGGGTGTCAAATCAAGACTCTTGCTTTGGCAGGAGGGATTAACTGACCAAACAAAAGTGCATTGCAGCTTGGGGGGGTGCAGCTAGTTAAAAAGAGATCCTCCCTTGGGCCATAACGCGGGTGGGTCTGGGATAACCTCTTGAGTAAACAAAACAGTGCAGAGACCAGACTACCTTCATCAACCAGGCGCAGAAAGACATAGTGGAGAGACCACTAGGGGAGTCATATCACAACTACTGTTTTAGGAGGTGATAGCAAGAGCTAAGGGGAGTGTTAGAAGAAGGTAGGGGGCTGCCTCTCCCCCATGCAATCCAAGCACTGGGTGGGATACAGAGTGGGAAGCAGCTGTTGAGCAATCCTTTGTACATTTCACTTTGAGATAGTTCTCCTTTTGAACTATTTCCCCCAGCATCTGAAACATATGCAGCTGCTTTACACGGAGTCAGATCAGTGTTGTTAACTCTGAGTGACAGTCTTCTTCCGGGGCCTCAAGCAGAGGTCTTCCCCAAGCCTGCTGGCTGAGATCACATCAGCTGGAGATGCCAGGAACGAGTATATAATCAAAGCACTTGTTCTACCACTGGAAACCCCTGTGAGCAATGGCCTACCAAGGCACTTTCCATTCTGGAAAGTTGGACAGAGCATGGTATTGTCCCGATTCCTGCCATGACAGCGATGCTCACTGTGTACCACGATCCGAAGCTGAAATAGCTCTGTGGTGATGATGAGCAGGTTGCTTACAAGCCCTCTATCTCCTAAAAGCCAGGCAGCATAACTTTTAACGGGAATTCCATCTGTGGAAGAACAACACCAAGGGTTGTTTGCGAACAGCAGTTGCGTCCGTGACATCTGTGTGCCATGCGTAAGTAAAATAACATGGGCTCAGCAGTAAACTAACCACAACAGATAGGAACATGGACCCTCTCCTATTGTTGGTCCTCTTCCAGCCCTGCTAACTGCATCATTGTTGGCAGAGAACACATTGCGGCAAAAACTACATATCCTGAAAAGCACTACCAAACACATGGGATGGAGGCGCAGAGAACATGATCCTCTAACTATGCCCAGCTGCTGATGCTGGGAAGACCTATCCAGATGTTCAGTGGGGAGCAGTAACTATAGCTGCCTTGATGATGTGGGCAGGAGGGGGAGCAGGGAGCTGTGAGGAACTGAGAGAAGAGGATGCTTGACTAGATAGGCTGTTGGCCTGATCCTGCAGGCTTTTGTGTTCTGATGTTCCTGTTGGTGCCAATGGGAGATTGTTTCTTAATGCTAATTGCCATCACCTCTCTGTGTAATTTGTTCCAAAGCTAAACCGTTCTTACTGCCAGGAAACTTCTTCTTGTGTTCCACCTCTAACTTACGTCCAGGAGATCCAGTCCTGTCCTATGGGGCAGCAGAGAACTAATTTTTGCCCTGTTTTGTGTGAGAGTCCTTCAGGTATTAGAAGAGGGATATTATTTCCCACCTCTGTTTTCCCTGGGTGAACATACATAGTTCCTTCAACTTTTCCAAGTAGGCAGGGAAAGGCGCTTTGCTCTGGGAAACTGGGGCACTACTTTTTCTACAGGCAACGACAACTCTGTTTTCTGTCTGGTTGGAGCCTGTGTGTGTGTGTATGCATATGCATGTGTGCAAAAGAGAGGCAGGTGGTGGATGATGAATGCAGACCAATCCTATGTAGGTCTACTTAGAAGTAGTTTCCGCTGAGTTCAGTGGGGCTTACTCCTAAATAAGTCCACATGGTATTGCAGCCTTGTATTTCAATTAGTATTTTCATTGCTGGATTTCTTTGAACATTACAGATGGAAATAATTGATGTCCTTAATGTTGTTTGCAAAGGAGGAGAATGAGGGGAAAGCTATAATTAGTTGTCTCCGACCACTGTGATTCCCTGCTCCATCTATCCTTATTTACCATTTCCTTGGCCCCACCTGTCTCAGCAGGCACCATGTGCTGCTGCTGCTACTACCGCTGCTAGTTTGTGTTTCCTGTACCATGGACCATCTTCATTGACCTCCTCTGAACTTCTTCCAGTTTGTTAATTCTAGTCTAGTCTCCTCCCTGATGTGTCAGGAATGCATTTGTACCAGAGGGAAACATAGTCAGTCCTTGTGAGCGGCCAACCAACAGTCTAGAAAAGCACAGCCCAATGCTGTTACCCATTCCTAGATATTTAATGGTGGTAGAGCTAAGAAGTCCACCTGTGCAACGATGCCCCATATTCCCATGCTATGAAAGGCCTCCCTGGTAAGTGTGATGTGATAGTCTTTTAACTAAGGATGTAAGAAAGCAGTGCTTTCCATTCTATGTTGTGCTGTTTCCATCCCACTGCAGTTTGTTTTCCACCAAAAGGTGCATTAGTTGTGTTGCTGTCTGCTGTGACAAATTTATAAAATGTACCGTATTTTTCATTCTATAAGATGCACTTTTTCTCTCCTAAAAAGTAAGGGGAAATGTGTGTGCGTCTTATGGAGCAAATGCAGGCTGTGCAGCTATCGCTGAAGCCAGAACAGCAAGAGGGATTGCTGCGCAGCGATCCCTCTTGCTGTTCTGGCTTCTGGGATTCAGAATATTTTTTTTCTTGGTTTCCTCCTCCAAAAACTAGGTGCGTCTTATGGTCTGGTGCATCTTATAGAGCAAAAAATATGGTATATAATTTACATAAACAATCACATTTCAGTGCAAAGGAAAAACGATGCAAGGGGTGGGAATAAAATGTAAGCAATTACTTACTGTTTGCAGGCATAGACTGCAAGATGTAACATTTTATTCTATAATCTATAATGGAGACTGGGTCCATGTTTTCTCTATGTAGTCTACGCACGATCTTCTTGAGAAAATGGGTTTCATTCTGAAAATAACAGCTCACTGCAGATTGATTCTGCATAACCCCACATTGTACCCATTTGAAAACAGATGTAGGTGGTCCTGATAATGGTAAGGTGTGTATTAACACCTGCTTGATGTGGTTGTGGGTGGGCGTATATCAAGATCACAATCACCGCTTCCTTCTTCATTCACCTGGGGCTAGCTCAGGAAGGAGAAGGCACGGATAACCAAATCAAGGGTTGTATCAGGCAACCAGACCCACACTTGCAGACGGCAGGCTCCAGAATCAATGTAAGTTGAAAGCAGCATGTTGGAAGACAAGCATCAACAACTCTGGATTGAGAAAAATGACATTTCTGTGCCGATTCATTTCCGTTCTGGACACAGGACGAATAAGCGAACATCGGCAATTTCCTGTTTCTGTTTCTATTGGAATTCTCCGACATCCCTGCTTTTAACTCTTCC